AATCATGGAGAACTATATCAGTGGTGATTTGGGAAGGTTCATCTTGCTGATGATGAAACCTTGAAGATCGTCGGAAAAGGAGATATCCGACTAAAGCTGCCAAACCAGACCACCTGGAAGCTGACAGGAGTGAGACATATTCCTGGCCTCAAAAGAAATCTGATTTCTGTTGGACAGCTTGATGGAGAAGGATATAGTACAACCTTTTCAGGTTGTGAATGGAAGATTACCAAAGGAGCACTCGTCATTGCTCGTGGTAAGAAGACTGGTACTCTCTATGTAACCTCAAATTTAGAGAATATCATTGTAGTAGCAGATGCTGATGGAAAATCAAACCTATGGCACCAAAGGCTTGGCCATATGAGCGAGAAAGGAATGAAGATACTTCTGTCAAAAGGGAAGCTGCCGGATCTAAAGAATGTGGATGTCGGACTATGCGAGGATTGCATCTTTGGCAAACAAAAGAAAGTCAGTTTTGCAAAGATTGGCAAGGCACCCAAGGCAGAAAGGTTAGAATTGATTCATACTGATGTATGGGGACCATCCCCAGTTCCATCTCTTGCAGGCTCACTATATTATGTCACCTTCATCGATGATTCAACAAGGAAGGTGTGGGTTTATTTTCTGAAGAAGAAATCAGAAGTCTTTGATACCTTCAGAAAATGGAAGGCCATGGTGGAAAATGAGACTGGTTTGAAAGTCAAGAGGTTGAGGTCTGACAATGGAGGAGAGTACAGAGACAGTAGATTCAGAGATTTCTGCGCAAACAATGGGATTAAGATGGAGAAAACAGTTCCCATAACACCGCAGCAGAATGGCGTAGCAGAGCGCATGAATAGAACTCTGAATGAACGTGCTAGAAGCATGAGGATACATGCCGGATTGCCCAAATTTCTATGGGCTGAAGCTATCAACACTGCAGCTTACCTGATCAACCGTGGGCCCTCTGTTCCTTTGGATGGCGGAATACCAGAGGAAGCTTGGAGCAAGAAAGAAATAAACCTTTCACACTTAAGAGTGTTTGGTTGTATTTCTTATGTACACATAGACTCTGCTGAAAGAAGTAAACTTGATGCTAAGTCCAACAAATGTGCCTTTGTTGGTTATGGCGGTGATGAGTTCGGTTACCGGTTTTGGGACTACGAAAATCGAAAGATCATCAGAAGCAGAGACATCATTTTCAATGAAAATGTGATGTACAAAGACAGGTCAACCGCAGAATCAAGTAATACCGAGGCTGAAACAAAGGAATTTGCTGAGTTCGAGGAGATTTCTGAAAATGATGTTCAGATCAGTCCTGAAGCAGTTCAAGAGGAAGAACCAGGCACACCAGAACTGAGACGCTCCTCCAGAATTCCTAAACCAACCCAACGGTATTCACCTTCTTTACACTACTTGTTGCTGACTGACAATGGTGAACCAGAGTGTTATGATGAAGCAATGCAAGTGGAGGATTCAGTCAAGTGGGAGTCTTCCATGAAAGATGAGATGGACTCGCTTATGTCAAATCAGACGTGGGAATTAGCTGAATTACCACCAGGCAAGAGAGCGCTCCATAACAAGTGGATTTACAGGATCAAAGAAGAGCACGATGGGAGCAAACGTTACAAAGCAAGATTGGTTGTCAAAGGCTTTCAGCAAAAAGAAGGTATTGATTACAATGAAATTTTCTCTCCAGTCGTGAAACTGTCTACAATCAGATTGGTGTTGAAAATTGTAGCTGCAGAAAATTTACATCTTGAGCAGTTAGATGTAAAGACAGCTTTCCTTCATGGTGATTTGGAGGAAGAAATCTATATGAGGCAGCCAGAAGGCTTCATAGAGGCAGGCAAGAAAAACCTGGTATGCAGGTTGAAGAAGAGCTTGTATGGTTTAAAACAAGCTCCTAGACAGTGGTACAAGAAGTTCGATAGTTTCATGGGTAGCAGTGGTTTTACCAGATGCCAAGCAGATCATTGTTGTTACATCAAGAGGTTCGACAACAACTTCATTATTTTATTATTGTACGTTGATGACATGCTCGTTGCAGGCTCAAACATGCAAGAGATTATACACTTAAAGCAAAAATTGTCGAAGCAGTTTGCTATGAAGGATCTGGGCGCTGCAAAGCAGATTCTTGGGATGAGGATCAAGAGAGACACAAAGTCGGGGACTTTGATGTTATCACAGGCTGAGTACATCAACAAAGTACTCTCCAGGTTCAACATGCAAGATGCTAAACCAGTAAATACACCTTTAGGTGTTCATTTCAGACTCTCCAAAGAACAGTCACCAAAGACGGAGGAAGAACGTGCACACATGGTGAAGGTGCCGTATGCCTCAGCAATTGGAAGTCTGATGTATGCCATGGTTTGTACCAGACCAGATATTGCTCAAGCAGTGGGAGCTGTTAGCAGGTACATGAATAATCCAGGCAAAATACACTGGGAAGCAGTCAAATGGATCCTCAGATATCTGCGAGGTACCACAAACAAAGCACTTTGTTTCAAAGGTGGAGATACGATACTGACAGGCTATGTAGATGCTGACTTAGCCGGAAATGTTGACATCAGAAGAAGCACTACAGGGTATGTCTATACTCTAGGAGGAACCGCAGTGAGTTGGGTTTCTCAACTACAGAAGATAGTTGCTCTCTCCACAACCGAAGCAGAATATGTCGCTGTTACGGAAGCCAGCAAAGAGATGGTCTGGCTCCAAAGTTTCTTGAATGAGTTAGGCAAGAAACAAGAAAACAATGTCTTGTATTGCGACAGTCAAAGTGCTATCCATCTAGCGAAGAATCCGTCTTTTCATTCCAGGACGAAGCACATACAATTGCGATATCATTTTATCCGGTCTCTTCTGGAAGATGGGATTTGAAACTTGAAAAGATCAGTGGAGCTCAAAATCCAGCAGACATGTTAACAAAGACGGTAACTACGGACAAACTGAAGTTGTGTTCAACTTCAGTTGGCATGCTAGAATAAAAGACCAGAAATACTGCTGCATCGATCGAGGTGTGAAGACAGATTGAAATCAGTCTTCAAGTGGGAGATTGTTGAAAATTAAAGAACAAGTTGGGCTGCTAAGTAGCAGCCGGCTGCTAAAACAAATTGGGGAGGGGGGCTGCCCAAAATATTTTTATTTTTAATTACAATATTAGTCCCTAAGTTTTAACTATAAATACCCTAGCTCATTTAGCTTCAAAATCATCCCAAAATCTTCTAGTTCTCTCTCAATTGTGTTGTGTAAACACCTGTAAATTTTCTCTTAGTAAAAGATCTGCAGCAGTCCGGAGACGTAAGCATAAATTGGCTGAACTCCGTTATCAAATTTCGGGTATTATTTTTCCGCTTTTATTTCGCATTCTCACTAATCTGGTTATAGGGAAATTACTTGTACTTGGTTTATTTCCTAACAGTAATGGCTAAAACAGTAGGAAAAGAAGGGAAAGCAAGCAACCATATGAACCCCTAGAAAGAAGCAGCAGCATAAGCTTTGGTCCTAGAAAGATAATGCCAACAATTTCCGCCCTCTTTCCACAACTCTTTATTTTATAAGTCAAAGATTCAACAGTGTAAAGCTTACAACAACGTGCCACCGACCAAAGTTAATTATCTTTGACGCAAAGCAGCGGACATCAAACACTAGGATCACAATTTTTCTTGATCTGGATGAGTCCTAATCTCATATTATATTTTTTAATTAATTTTTGGCTTAAGTTAAGATAAAATGGTTTAAAAAATTAAAATCATATTATATTTTTATTATGTTAGGTCGAAATTAAATTAAATGATATTAAATTTAAGTATAGATTTTTAAATTTCAAGTCGACATAGGGCGATAAAAAGCGCACCCGTTTGTAATCCCTAATTTTAACATAATATTTAATCGATTTTTGAAGGATTTTTAGATTAAAAAAATACATGTATTTTTTAGATATTAATTCCAGTAATCTCCATGGCTTTTGCATTCCCATTCAGGGATACCTTCTTTAGTAAACTGCAACACAACAAAGTCTCATAAGGCCCAAGAAGAGCCGAAATGTAATTGGTAAGCTACTAAGCTTTTATTTGTGTACATGACCATTTGCTGGAATATAAATTATGCTATTGTCTGGAAGTCGGAGCAACTTGGTAGGGTGGTCGTGGTGATGGGAAATCATAGTCTATTGCTTGTGGACCAAGCAACCGGGAGAAGCCGACACAATAAGGAAATTTGCGCAATCACCATCGGGTTCATGCCTAGATTCCATCATTTTTGCCCTGGAAAAACTCAGTTCCTAATTAATGCTTCAAAGTATAATATAAAAAATGGTGAATCTACCAGAATGCTAATAAATGGTAATGCCAGATTATACCTAATCTCAATTTTTTTTGAAATTTATATGTTTAACTAAGTGAAGCAAATGTGTCATCCGAATATATATCTCTTATATATAAGAATGATCAAAGGGATATAGAAATAATTACATCTCCTAAAAATTAAGCAAATGTGTCATTCAATTGTGCTGTTTAAGCAATATATTTCCTTCAAAATGCTAAAAAAAAGTAAATTGTAAATTTTGGGCCTTGGGTTGAGTATGGGTCCATCTCCTTATCTACATGTTTCGGCTTGATTCATGGCTTTTTTTTTGCTTTAAAAAAATACTAATAATTATGTAAATAAAGCGGTGTACCTTTTCATGACTAAAGATATTTTGGAAGATGCAGATAGATGGATCCAATGATTTCAATGAATAAGATATTTAACGAACACGTGTAACTGTCACATGAAAGTTTCCCTCGGGGCCTCGCGCTTCCGTTCACGTGGCAGACCAGAAACCGGACTTCCATATTCAGTAATCTCATCGGTATTCTCCAGTAAGCAGTAATCTCTCTTCCCTCTTCAATCCCGGTAGATATTAGTATTGCTATTGTTTAACAAAGAGGATTAAAGAAGTGTCACTCACTTAGAGTTTTTTCTTCTATGCGCAGGCTCTTTCTCTGTTTTTTGATCTTTTGAATATCCGAATCCTTTCTGGACTTGTTTTTTGGAGTTTGGATCCACTTTCCCGTCCATTCCCTGTTTGTTCTTTTCGTTACCGAAAACAAAACAAAAGAATAGAATAGAAATACGGTAAAGCAAAGATGCTACACTCATCTTTTATATCCAAATCAAATTGTACCAGGTTTCCTCCTGTCGATTCCCCAAATGCAACCCTTTCTTCCTTTGGAGCTTCTTATCTTCTTCAAATGGGGTATGCTCTTTACTTTGCTTTTTTTTAATATATATTTGTATTATTTATCGGATTTTGTGGGTAAACAGTAAAAACTTAAATCCACGTTTTCGAAAGGATGGGTTCAATTTGTATGTACTGCTAAGTGCTAAGGTTTTGTAAGATCAATAATATGAATTTACCAAAAAAAAAAGGATCAATGATATGAAAAAGTTGATCGATCAAGTCTGAATTGGGAGAAACTCATATTTTGTTTTCGTAACTTATTGAGTGTACCTGGTGAAAATGGTTTATATTGAAATAGGATGTTTTATTTATCCGCTATTTAGCTTTTAGTTTGGGTAATTTATTGACCTACGATAGTGATTCTTTAGATTGAAATGGAGTAGAATTGCATCGAGTGGGCGACGACTTTCAAGTAAGGCATGTCTATGCTCATAATGATGCCATAAACGTTCCAATTTTACTATTGCTTTACAAAGAAAAAGGGACAACATGACTGAGTTTTTGGGTATATTGCAAGGCAAGGAGCCGTGACAAGCATAGGACAGAAAACGTGTATGGGCGTCAGTCACGAGAGCGGGTACTTGAGGTATTTTAATATCCTGAACTTTTCAGTTTTTCATTATGTTTGTTCTGCAATATTGATTTGTGCGAGTTATCTGGGACGTTATATGTTGTTGGCCTTATTCTTCTGTTTCTCTTGCTCATGTATTAGAAGTAAACTTGTATTGACTGTGCATGTTTGTATCCAAATGACATCTTGATAGTAATTTGCAAAATCCCTTGCTCCATGCAACTGTTTTTATTTGCATTGTTTTTTTCTTTATTATGATCACTATTATGACTAAGATGAAGTATACAAATTTTAACAATATTTGCTTGATCCACACCATTGTATATTCATTCTTTGCAATTTCAGGAAGAAGACCCTGAAATGGCTAAAACCACCCCATCCTTCAAAATTTTCCCAGGTCAGGCATTTCCATTAGGTGTATCAGAGGTTGATAACGGGATCAATTTTGCCATATTTTCACAGCATGCAACTGCAGTTACACTTTGCTTATCACTTCCTCAGAGGTAAGAATACATTCTTTTTTGCTTTATAAGTTTTATTATTTGTGTTCTTGCTCTTTTTGGATAATTTAACCTGATTCATTGTTTCCATAATTTAAATTCATTATCCTCTAAAGTGGACCTCCTTATGTTTTTTTATATTCTTTATTATTCATGTACAATTCATTTCTGATGACTGGCTTTTCTTGTTTTTCCAACATATGAAAAAAATTATATGAAGAAAAGTGTTCAGATGTTTCTTTGTTCACTGAACTTTTCTGGCTTACTGCCAGGAAATGTGCATAAAAGTTATGCTTTTCCTTTATATTTGTAGTGTTTATCAGACTAGAGAAAGAAAGTTGAGCTGTTTGGAATATTATTAGTATTGTTGGCAATTAGTAATTCATTGTATCGATAATGTATCTCAGGGGAGAACTCAACAAGCTGGATGGTGGAATGATCGAATTTTCTTTGGACCCTCGTCTCAACAAAACTGGAGATATTTGGCACATATGCATTGAGGTGATATTTCTATCGAGATTCTTGAAACAATTTCTTTTTTTCTGAATTAGAATAAACTTATCTTATTTAATTGTCATCAATATGTATATGTTGAACAATGGAAGCAACTACTTATTTTTCTCGCCATGACGTAATATGATTTCTGGTTGCACCATTGAAATGGCTCTCCAAATGTAGGATTTTCCCCGGAGCAATGTTCTCTATGGTTATCGCATAGATGGTCCCAAAAACTGGGACCAAGGGCATCGATTTGACTACAACAATGTTCTTATAGATCCTTATGCAAAGCTAGTAGAAGGTCGTCGAACTTTTGGAGATCCAAAGCATAAATTATCAAAATTTCTTGGAACTTACGATTTTGATAGCTTGCCTTTTGACTGGGGAGACGACTACAAGCTCCCAAATATCCCTGAGGTATGGGCAAGATAGTTTGTTTTTGTGTTATGTAGCCAATTCTCCTATTGGGTTGATGACCAGTCACTCATTTGTTCTTTCTTTATCATTTTTTGAAACTTTTGTTGTTACTCATCTGAATTAAATTTCTCTCTTATATCTTGTACATGGATCCCATGCCACTTATGCCAGATATTAAGTTCTCCTGAAGTCCTTTGTCTTTGTTTAGAGTCAAAGTCATCGAGTTTGTGTTTCATCTCTTCAGTGAATGTTTCTGCTGCTCATGTTTTATGGCACTTGCCACTTGATTGCAGAAAGATCTTGTTATATACGAAATGAATGTTCGTGCATTTACTGCTGATGAATCTAGTTGCTTGGATCAAAATATATGTGGCACTTATGCCGGTCTGATTGAGAAGGTATTGATTTATTGCATTATGCTCAATCACATTCTAAGAAATTGCTCTGTGAATAATGTGTTAATTACTAGATGTATTAGTGCTTTCAGTTTGCATTTTATCATATTTAAGACATGCTTATGTATGTAATTGAATCTTAACTCAGTTATAACGGAGAGTTGAACAATATGACGTGGATACTTATCATTGACTCAAAGACAGGTTTTGGTTTAAGACATAGGTATTAGGGTTGGGGCATCCTAGAAGGATGGATTTGCAACACTTGTAACATCTGATGTTTTCTTCCCCAAACGAAGATCAACTTTTTTGTGCAAACAAACTGTCCCCAGCAATCTTAGTAAAGATAATGTATGCAGTACGAGGCATGGGAATGGTTGTGGAGAGTGAAGCCAAAGTTTTATGTCATTATCTTTGGAGAACTGCCATGTGGGAATGGTTGTGGAGAGTGAATTCATAATTTTATGTCATTATCTTTGGAGAACTGTCATGTAATACACTTATCTACATGATAATTGACATGCTAAAGATAATGTATGCACTACGAGGCATGAGAATGGTTGTGGAGAGTGAAGTCGTAGTTTTACGTCGTTACCTTTGGAGAACTGCCATGTAATACACTTATCTACATGATAATCAACATGCTAAAGGAAGTGTTGTTAAACTACTTTTGTTCTGTTTGAAAGTCTTATTCCAGAGCATTGATTATGTATTTGTGTCTTTCGGGAAACTATTGGACTCCTTTTCGCATTCTACATTTATCTGACAGTTTCTTTGTTGAATTTTTCTTAAAGATCCCACACCTTCTAGAACTTGGAATCAATGCAGTGGAGCTGCTTCCGGTCTTTGAGTTTGACGAGTTTGAGTTTCAAAGGCGCCCCAATCCCAGAGATCACATGGTAACTAGAATATTCAATAAGCAAACACTTTTTCTCTTTTAGAGACAAAATGTCTCTTTTCTATTTGGTCTCAAAATGCATTTAATGTTACATTGTTACCATCTTCACTGCACTTTTCATTGTTGATTATCTTTAACTTTAGTTGCCTAAACCCTTGAAGTATGCCCACTTTTAACTTTAGTTACCTACACAATTTTTTTGCATATTCCAGGTATCTAATGTTTTCAACCGTTACCACTCCCACCCCACTGGTTTTTTTCATCCATCAAGATGGTGTGGCAACATTAGAAACTGCCACATGGCACAACAAGAAAGTGCCACGTGGCAAAAAATCAAAGAAATTTTAAAAAATCTATAAAAATATCAATTTTTTAAATAATGTGATTTGAAAAACATATATTTGCTTCTTTTTTAAATGGATTCTTTTTTACATTTTTTACAACTTTTCGTACTTTTTGGAATTTTTATTCCTTTTCCAGGTGACACTTTCTGATTGTGCCACATGGAAGTTTCTGATGTTGCCATGTCATCTTGATGGATAGAAAAACGGGTGGGATGCAAAAAATAGTTTAGGTACCTAAAGTTGGAAAAAGGTCATACTTCAGGTTTTTTTTAATGGCATAGCCTTTTGTTAATCATTTATTAATGTGTATACATTTAGCGCTGAACTCAGAAAGTTCAGATACTATTCATGGTTCGAAGTAAGTGTCATCACTTTTTGGATAGTGTTCATAGGTTCCAACTACTCAATTAAGTGCGAAGCTCTTTAATAACATATTATAACAGTTTGTTCATAGGACATCCTGAAGAACAATACCACTTGTATTTTGCAAGAAATAAAATTATTGAGAAGTACTTGGTTTGCAATTATTAATTTTTTTGGACCACAGTCTTAATAGGGCGCTCTTTTGTCACGCCTGCTCTGTTAAGTAGTGATTTAAAAATAAATTAAATATTTTTTATATGTCGGTTGAATGATGGATGATTGTGTTGTTTGGTTATAGTTCTTTGTGCTTCAATTGTTGTGAAAATATAAGAACACTAAAAATCCTCTATTTTTTTTTAATTTAAGATCAATACGTGGGGTTACTCGACAATAAATTTCTTTGCTCCTATGAGTCGTTATGCTTCTGGTGGCGGAGGAGCTGTTGGTGCTTCTTGGGAGTTCAAAGAAATGGTTAAAGCCTTGCATGGGGCAGGAATTGAGGTAAATGTTTTTTGTTGCTATGGTTGGTTATAATCTCCTCGTTTCAAATTGAAGTATGAAATATGCATATTATTGTGTTTGGCGACTATTCATTTTTTGCACAGGTGATATTGGATGTTGTCTATAATCACACTAATGAAGCTGATGATAAGCATCCTTATACCACTTCTTTTCGTGGCATAGATAACAAGGTGGGTTTTCTTTTTTCTATTTTTTATCCAACAATGACAGTAAGGCATTTTGGCATTTGCAGGTTTATTACATGGTGGACTTAAACAACAAAGGTCAACTGCTAAACTTCTCTGGCTGCGGTAATTCGAGTTTTCTACTTGACTTTTTTGCGGTCTTTCTTAGGAATCTATTCCATTATTCTTTTTTTCCAGATGTTCAACGGTTAACTCTCTCAAATTTCTTCCCTAAAAAACTTATCCCCTTTCATATTCATAGAAGTAACTCATTGCTGGACTCTTGTTAGAAATTGGGATTGCTTTTGAGATTGTTTTGTTTGATAACTCGCTTCTCAGAATCTTATATCTTCTCTTTTCAGGTCTGGCATAGCTATTGATAATTTGATATGATCTCTTTCTGTTTTGATAATTATAAAGATATTTCCCATTTTTCATCACTGGAATTTAGAAATAAAGTACTATTGTCTTATTGATAATTTAGCACCTTTCTTTCAACTCTCAACATCATATGCTGTTTCTGATCTATTATCGTAATGCTGCCGAGGTTAGGAGCTTGCTTCTTGCATTAAGTTTAGTGCAGAATATGACTGGGGTTGTCTTTTGAATTTGTCTTCTCTGTGATAAAGATAAAAGAGTATTTTAACATCTGGCGGGTCACTTGAGTTGATGCCTGTGAAGTTTGGAAATTCATCTTGCATAAGTATTGTGGTTTAACTCTGGCTTGAGTTTTACATCTTGCTTCTCTTTCTGCGGTTTATACTTTTGAACCAATTGCTGGGAAGTTATGGATTCATCTAAAATAAGTACTTTTGAGAGTTCGAAACAGGCTGAATTTGGGAACTACCTTATTTTTTTTAATAAAGATAAAGATTTATAAGTTTAGCTATCAAATATAAAGTTCTTTGAGATGCAAGTTTTTTGTTCTTCAGGGAATACATTAAATTGCAATCATCCTGTTGTCATGGAGCTCATACTTGACAGCTTAAGACACTGGTATGGATACAAATCCTATAGGAAACCATGGCATATTTTTTCTAATAATATAAAATTGTCTTCTTTCTGAAGGTTATTTTAATCATTTTTTGTTTTAACCTGAATTGTTTTCTTTTTTTGTGTCCTGAATTGTTTGTTAAATCACAAATCCTGTTTAATTATTATTTCATGTACAATTAGGAGGAGGTATAGGTGTGGGTGTGCTTTTTCTTTTGATGGGGGGTTAAACAGGCTTAGCATACAAATTTAGTTCTACTGTTGGATAAAGTTAAACTCGGAGAAAAACAGAATTGGATTAGCTGAATTGTGAAACACTTTTGAGCTGTTGGATGGTCTGTGTTTAAGTCGCTCAATATACTTAATTATTCCTGGAGAGTAATCAATAATGTTCGACACTTGATTTCTGTTACTTTTTATGTGTGTATTATCTTTGAACAATAAGATTATGTTTTTCAAGAGCTCACTGGCAACAAAATATGTGGTGAAACCAACAAATTTTTGTTGGCTGACATGTTTCCTGTTCTTTTCTATTATCAAATATAGGGCTGTTGAATATCACGTAGATGGATTTCGATTTGACCTTGCTAGTGTACTTTGTCGAGGCTCAGATGGTTCTCCACTTGATGCACCTCCACTTATCAGGGTAGGTGGTTTAAATGTTTTCCCACTATAAATTACTACATGCAGCATATCCTACTTATTGAAAGTAGGACAATTTAAAGTCCATTTTGACCTAACATGATGTAATAAGTGGACAACTAACTATTATGGTGTAACAGCCAGCTCTATTGAGGATGTTTTTTTGTTAGGTTTTTTCTCCTATTGTAAAAGATTATCACGAAAGCATAGCTAAGTATATGTACTAATGTGCTGAAAGTTCTTTCAGGAAAAGGAAAAAGTGTTCAATTTTTGTGTTCCAGTGCCATGCTTAACTTGATTTCTTTTGAGATGTTAATTTGAATTATTTTGTAAATTTATATTCCCAAATAAATGTATTGTTGGTTTTATGGTTGGAATACATTCAAAAGCAACGTTGCCTCATTATGCTCTCGAGTTTTTGGTTCTCGAGAATTTTGCTCCACCTTTTTTTTGTGGGGGGTGCTTCAAAATTTCTGAAGGTGCAGTTTTTTTTTTTGTCATGAGTTGTCAGCTCATTCTTTATTGAACCAGGCTATTGCCAAAGATGCTACCTTATCAAGGTGCAAAATTATTGCTGAACCTTGGGATTGTGGGGGGCTTTATCTTGTTGGCAGTTTTCCTAATTGGGACAGGTATTTTGCTTTTAAAAGATCTTACTTCATTCTGTTTGTTTAAGGAACTAGAGCATTTAGAGCACGTAAAGACCATCTGCTATCTGAGAATACTTCTTCACAAATTCATTTTCAAATAATGCATATAATTTGCTGTTGCAGTTACTGTTACCTGAAAACATGTAACACTGACATCCCTAGTTGGCAATAAATCTAGTTATAAAAATCTCAACTGAGGAGTGGTGTCTGTAAATATTTTGACCTTAAGAAGATATATGCATTTTTGGCATTTCCCTACTTCTTGTGCCTATGTAAGATATCTTAATTTTTTGCCATTATAGATGTCTGATAAAATAGCATCAGTTATTTTCTTTTCTACTTTATAACTTAATTTCCTTGAGTACAATACATATGTTTTCAAAAGATTATTATAATTCGGTCACATTTCTTGGTTTTACATGTCTCAAACCTACTCTGATTATCATCTAGTTGCATGGCTGTGTGATTAATCAGATATTTTCACCTGTGGATTTCTACTTTAAACATTTGTTTTTCCCTATGGAAACTATCTTTCTGAGAACACAGGGAACCTTTCCTCTATCACTTTCAGATTTTCTGTTCTGCAGGTGGGCTGAGTGGAATGGGAGGTACCGTGATGATCTAAGAAGATTTATAAAGGTAGCACCAAATGGAACAAATATTTTCTTTGATGCACGCTAAAGGTGCAGGATGAACTGGTGGTTGGCTATATTTTACCAATATTAAGTTTTCTTTTATGCACACTAAAGGTGCAGGATGAACCTAATTGAGGTGCAAGGTGCAAATGAAGGACTTGTTTATGAACGGAAAAGCAAAGCACCAAATAACTAGACCACTCTAACAAACTTTGTACATTAACCCTGCTCAATTGCCTAGTCTTCAACTAATACCTGATACCATTAAATGCCACTGTAGGTTCCCTCCAGGCTGTTACCAATATAAATTAATATATAGACCATTTAATCTGTTAGTCTTAAAAATACACATCTTCTGTCCTTTTAGTCGGTTGAAACATAACAATAGAAATAAAAAAAATTAAGAAAAGAAAAGCAAACTTAACCACGTAATTTTTGCTCCATTTGCCTTTCAGTAAAGGTACCTCACCTGAGAGATTTTTTTTTTTTGGGGGGGGGGGGTCAGTAGTGAGGCTACACTGCACAAGATGTTGCTTTGCATGTCAGAATCCATGACATCATAAAAAAATTTAAAATAAGCATCTATAAGAATTTATGTAGTATTTAATTTTTATATGATGCTGAAATTATCTTGTCATGCCTTTTTGGGTCCGAATTGTCCTTTTTTTCTTTGGGATGTAATGATCTCTCTTTGTATCTAATTATGAACTTTCCTTAATATAGGGTGAAACCGGTATGAAAGGAGCATTTGCGACTCGTGTTTCTGGATCTGCCGACCTCTACTGTGTAAGTGTCATTCATGTGGTGATTGAAAACTAGCAGTCTGAATATTAAATATTCAATGAAAATCATGGGTCTAATTGGCATCTATGTTTCTGATACCCCCAATTCTCTTGTTTAAATATTATTAATTACAAAGCTGGATTTTGTAGATGAAGATTTAGAAATGCTAAGCGTTATCCTACCCACATTTTTAGTCTAACTTTTCAATCTTTAAAGCTGTTGTTGCAAATGTTGGTATTGGTCTGAGTATCTTAACTTTCCGAGACATTGATGTGGAGCAAAAAGAAGGCTCTAGTGATTTCATGATCATATTTGGTATTTGTATTGATCATTTGGTATTTTGAATACGTATATTGATTTTAGAAGGTATTTTTTATAGCTGATACAGACGCCCTTAATTTCATTGGTTCGCTTTTCAATTTTTTCCACTTTTAATGGTTGTAAATCATACTTTTGGCTCATTCTACAGAAAAATAAACGCAAGCCAAACCATAGCGTTAATTTTGTCATTGCACACGATGGCTTCACCCTCCGTGATCTTGTTTCATACAATTTTAAGGTATATAATATTCACCACATCAATTTAAGTTTAAGTGCTTCCTTGGGGCTCATGCAGTATTTCCACTTGATGTTTGTTTTTACAGCACAATGAAGCCAATGGAGAAGGTGGAAATGATGGAAGCAATGACAACTTTAGCTGGAATTGTGGGTTTGAAGGTATGCAAAAAGGTTCCTTTTTTTATTGTTGAAATTTGTTTTCTATTCTTTGACTATGCATGTATAAATTCTAATTTTGTATTATCTTAGACGCTTCAAGATTATATCTTTTCATTTAAATTTTTTTCATGGTTTGAGTCTCCAATAAACAGAACATGTTCAATGGTGTATCATTTTACTAAAATTTGTTTCACCTGAACTCCCTTTGTTTTTCTGTTTTTATTGGATAGGTGAAACTGACAATGCTGGTATTGTAGCCCTGCGCTTCCAGCAAATGAAAAACTTTCATTTGGCATTGATGATATCACAGGTAAAGATATTACCGTTATTTTGTGCATCATATGATTCGTGGAGGGGGGATTGTTAAGAACACAATGGGGTTCAACAGTTTTTCATTTTCCTGTGAAGGGGATTTAACCTTTTCTTTGAACTAATGTTATTATGGATTTCCTTTAGTCTCAGTTATCTTTCTCTTGTTCTTTTTGTTTGTTCTTGTTAACTGTGGCATGTGTTTTTCTCAAAGCTAATAATCAGTACGAAGAAGTCTGGAGAGGTCCCAGACTGCCCCCTTTGTTATGCACACACTGTTCAATCAATGTCTATTTTGTTTAGGGCTATAAGCTCTGTTGATTTTTTCTTTGCTTTACACTGCAATTGGACTTGTAAAAAGTGTTGTGATCTTCTATGGAATCATAATCAGGGAATTCCAATGATGCTAATGGGAGATGAATACGGGCATACACGATATGGGAATAACAACAGTTACGGGCATGATACGGCTCTTAATAATTTCCAGTGGCAGCAGGTGAATTTTTATCAGCTTTTCATTTTATACAACTTTGATCCATACAGTACTTGCTTTATGGTATTCTCTATGTTGAAACAGTTGACTGCAAGGAAGAGTGACCACTTTAGGTTTTTCTCGGAGATGATACACTATCGGCGAAAGCATCAAGTATTTTGTCATGAAAATTTTCTCACCAAAGTACATATCTTTATACCTTTCTTAGTGAATCTACATTGTGCTTTTACATTCTCTGAAGCTCAATATGTGCTTTATCTGTGCAGAGAGATGTGACGTGGCATGAGGATAACTGGGACAACCCTGAGAGCAAATTCCTCGCATTTACGTAAGAAATTTTCATACCTCTCAATAGGTTGTTATTTCCTTAAATCATTTGTGCTTTGAGTAATGTGTTTGCATTATATTCCTTGTATATTCACGTGTGTGCACGATCTATTTCTTTCTTAAACATCAGAACAATGTATCTGCGATTCAGTTCTGCTGTAAATTAATTTATTTTGCAGGCTTCATGAAAACAATGGTGGAGATATCTATCTAGCATTCAATGCTCATGACTTCTTCGTTAAAGTTTCTATACCTCCAGCACCAACGGCAAGGCGTTGGTTCCGTGTGGTTAGTCTTATGTTTTTCTTTTGCTTCTTCTTCTTCAACCTCATACAAACTGATATATCCATGATTTATCAATGCACTTTCATTGGAATTGAAGATTTCGCAAGCTTTATTATTCCAACGAGGGGTTGATTTCTACTAGCTGCAATTTCAATGCTACAAAGCTATAGCCTGCTTGGTTTGATTGGTGGTATTGTTGATTTTGAATCATGCTGGTGTTTATTCATGGGTGATAACTTGAATCTGCAGGTAGACACCAATCTTGGGTCGCCGGATGATTTTGTGGGCGAAGGAGTCCCTGGAATTGGCAGCACCTACAATGTGGCTCCGTACTCTTCCATTCTTCTTGAAGCTAAATAATTACGAGCTGACCCCACTCCAGATGGATGGATCAGAAAAAGAATTTAGGACGCCATGTGTAGGATCAGATTTGGTATAGTATTTGCATGATTGTATGCAAACTTCTTTAAGTTTTAACATTTGAAAAATTAAAATAATTTAGCAATAATCGATTTAATATCTAAACCTTGCGACTTAATGTGATTATGAGATAAAATAACGCAGAGACAAATTCACGATCTCTCTGACACAATTTTTAAAGCGTTTTTTAGAAAATTATTTTGAATTAAATTTAGGTTAAAGAAATTGAAAATTAAATGCACGTCATACTTATAAACGGACCAAATTATTTTCCGAACCTTTAAAACAAAATAATCGAAAGGTAAAATAAATAATTAAAATCTTTTAAAGCTAAAATATTACTCTTTGGTACTGTTGTTTATGCATTTCAACGATTCAACTAGTGGTAACTAGAAGAAACACTGGTAATAGAAAAAAAAAACACACACACACACACAGTTGTGACAACAGCCATAAATGGGGAGAGATTCCATGATGAAGAATCCGGGGCTTTAGTTGTTGTTGTGTTGGTGGTTGATGGTTTGTCGCTGGAAGCTGGCGAATTGGACGATCCCGACTCCACTTTAACTGCAAGCTTCATGCCATTCGCGCAGTGACCCACTACACCACAGATGTAGTGTGTTCCGGCCTTCTTGAGGGCAACGGTGGTGGCTCCACTGTCATCTTTTGTGATGGCATCGCCTACAGTGCCCGTACTGTAATCACTTGAACTCACTTCATCCACTGTATGACTAGTTGGGTACTTGAAAACTAGGGTTGACCAAACAAATCCAACCATGTGAATTAATGATGGATCAGTCTAAATATGCTGATCAAATGTGAGATTCGGATTTAGATTTTATACTCGCCAATGCTATCACCAACTTCGAAGGTCTTACCACCAGTCCATGTACTATAATCTACCCCGGTTGTCCAGCCAGAGGCGTCACCAACGGTGTAAACTTTGACCAAGCTTGGCATCACCATACACGAGACTAGCAAAAGACAGGCCATTGCCAGTCCCACACTTGAGCTCCCCATTTTTTACCAGAGTAATTGTCTAATTGACGAAGTAAAACAGTGTTGTCAAAGAACAATGAGGAGTTTTCTGTGATGGAAACTTTCTGAAATGGGATTCCTTATATAATGGTGAAACGGGGCGGCAGGTCCTATGCCTAATGCAAAAGGCGTCCAATCACCGGCAAATAAGAGAAAGGAAACATGCATTTCCCCCATAAAATGCATCATTATATGTATGCTATATGTAGAAATGGGGTAATGACTTGTTTACATGTTTCTGATAAACGAATTTAATATAATGAAGAGTGGATGACTTAATTGTCAAATAAACTCTTTTTAGATCTAAACCTATTAAAATGTCTAAAAAGGTCTACAAGTCAGATTTTTCTGGTTGGGTAACTGTCCATTCAGTAATAAAAATATTGATTAATTTGACTTAGATTCTGCATGTTCTACTTAATCATTTGGTGTACTTTCAAAATCAGTTGGAATTCCTTTGGGTTCACTGTTTTGAGATCTTAGCAGACAGGAGTCTTTCATTATCAACTGATGTGATAAAGCTAATCTACTTCATTCTAAGCAATATGTGTAAAGTTACGAGTCATAAAGAAATCCAACAGTTAGATACCTCATCTCCTACCCAAATGATCACTAAAATAATCTTTCATTATTGGAAAATATCTTTATGGATATGTAATTTAAAAGGAATTATTCTCATTGTGAAATTAGGTTATGTATCTTTTATTTTTATTTTGTGTAGGCCAGTCAAAGGAAAGTGTGTAAATATAAACAAATGACGTGTCGAATTTAGTCGATGATTCTTAATATACAAGCTTTGTATTTGGTTGCTTTGATTTTCATGCTCATTTTCTTTCATAATTGAACCTTGGATATAATACGATTGGTTTGTTATGTGTGTGTTTAAGGTTTTGCGTTTACTTCTGAATAATGGGATTGGGGAGGTAGGGTCTTTTGTGGTTTCACGGATTAAATTATAAAATGGTCTACAAAGGTATGCCTATACGCCCAACGGAGGGCGTTTTCCCTGTTTGTTTTTATCCTTTGGAATCAACTGGATGTGATGACTGCCGTAAAATCATTTAACTACGGCAGTTTGCTGAAGGAGTTCTAGCGGTAGTAAAAGTGATATAGGTTGATCCAATTGCACTTTTGGATGACTTACGTCTTCCCTTTAAAACAGATTTTATTTATTTTCATTTGTTCCTATATGCTGCATGCATGTAAATAGGTTGCAAGAGTTAACACAATCTTTGTTAATACACAAATATTCCCTAGTTTATATCAAAATAATCTTTTTAGTTACTGAAGTTTTAAAATAACGAAATTATCATTCAATTTTCAAACGACTATAATTCTATAAGCTAGTCATTAAGAGGGGAAAAAAGAAAGAACAGAACGAGGTCGTTTAAGGATGTAATAGGAAATACCTAACATTAACATATCTGACTATTTTAATATACAACCGAAATAAATGATCAAAATTCTAATTACTTCAGCAACTACCTTACTCTATTACATCAGATCAGTCGGGAAATGCTAAAGAAAAACAGAAATTAACATTACTTATAAAAACAACAGTACTTCCATTCCGGTGCTTGAAACTATATTGCTCACCAACTACAGCCAGCCTGTTGCTTCAAAAAAGCTATCTGTAAATCTACTTAAAAAGCCATCATTGATACAAAGAATAATCAATGGACAAGAATTTAGGCTCCGTCTTGCAATGGTGACGGAGGCTTTCTTGCTGAATCTGGATCAGTAAAGTTCATCTTCTTCTCAATCAGGCTGTATATCCTGGGACTCAATTTTCTTTTCTTTGTTTGTGAGAAAAGTAAATTATACAATCAAATCAATGAACTTGTTTTTACATGTGAAAGCAAGCACCCATGTGTGCAGACCAACAAATACAGAGAACCCAACATTCTTTTCTCACCTTTGCAGATGCACTGTCAGTATGCTTCCCACCAGAATCATAGAGATTCTTTCCTTCACGTGATTGCCTCAATAATCTTTGGTTCGCCTCTTCCAATATGCTATTTTCTTCAAACAGAACTTTCACCTATATATATACAATACCATATTAACTTCAGATAAGGGGAATAGAAATTTAAAGTTTAAACAAGCATCAAGTGTTCAAATTCCTTGGTTCTCACCTCTTCTTCAGCTTTACTAAGGTTTAGCCTGAGATGGTCCTTGTCTTTCTCAAGGGTCATTACTTCAGCAGCTAGTGACAAAATTTTTTGAGTTGAAGGCATCAACCTGCAAAGCACCGCATAGGCCATTAGAATTAGTTCAGAAATATGGGAGTAGCCCTTAGCAGTGAAGAAATGATAATGCCCGTTAAATTCCATGCACCAAAAACCACCATTAACCAACAAAGACGCAGAAAATAAGAGAACAAAACCATCACCTATTCCACATTTTAAGCAACCTTTGACATGATTCAAGGGAGGTATTTGTCTCCAAGTATGCATGTCCGGATGTAACTTCATCTTTCAAATCAATGTTGCTAGAACCGAATCAAGTAAATTCTCTTCCACTGTCGTGCCTTCAGAAGATGAATCAATCTTCAAGTAGGATATATGATTGTCAGTTTGGATACATAATAGTTCTTGACAAAACTATACACGGTGACGGGTTTTCTAATCAATCATAGTCAATGAAAAACTGAAGCTAATCTCCTAAAACCAGATTTACGCTGTTCAACTTACTATGAGTCTATCAGCAGCAAAGAACAATAGTTTCATGATGCATGCTCAACTAAATTCACATGGTTATAAGCTACAAATAAAAAATTTAGCCATTAAATCTAACAAGATCTCATTATTTTCCACAAGAAAAGAAAACTAACCAAAGTTGTCCCCAAAAAATCAACAATTCAGAACTTAGCAACACAGCATTAAAGAGATTTTTTCAAATTACCATTTGGCTCTGATAACGGTGTCTGTAGAACCTTAATTCTTGATTTAACTTCCCTATGTCCTTTTCCAATGCATGAACCCTAATCTCAGCTTTCTTTGCCCTCTCATCAGCCTCGTTTCGAAAATCCATCAACGCCTACCTATCATGGTCATAAAGCAAACACTCTCTTTCCCATTTGTTACACTGGGTAAACAAATTCGTACACTCTGCCGCTAGCTTCTGATTCGCTTGCCCAAATCTCTTCAACGCCACTGCATTCATATTCGGTTCCGCCTTAAAAATAAAAAAAAATCATTTAAAATGTCAACATTTCATATTTTTGAAGATAAATATATTAATATTTTTGGTTATTTATTTTGTTTCGTTTTAAAGTTGACCGACCTTTGATCGCTCGATGATTTGATCTTTCTCTTTCAGTTTTGAGAGAATGAACAGATACTGCTGACGGTGGCGGATCTGGGTTTCTTCGGAGGTTCGGAGTTTCAATTGCAAAGATTCTCTGGAGACTTGAACACCTAAGGAATCATCGATTTTTTTAGGAATGTTAAATCACATTTTTCCCTCTCATAATCTCAGATTTCTTTGCCCTCTCATAATTCAAAATTTTGATTGACGAAGAACCCTAGATCTTGCAATAACTGAGTAATAATAACTCACAAAGAGTTGTCCTAGCATCGGTAGTAAAGAATGTTTTGTAGTAATTATCTTCGAATTTCAAAGATGAAGAATTTTTGTAAACTTTATCTCATAGCGTACGATGAATTTATATATTATTAAAAGAGTTCTGTTTTTTTTTAACAAATAATGACATCAACTTTTCGGTTAGTTTCCAAAAATAATTTTTATTTAACTGAGTTTGATTGTAAATCGTTTGAAACATCGGAAATAAATGTACAAATTCAATGCAAGAATAGGCCGGAAACTTATTAGTTGAAAACAATATTTATATAGATTTCAATCATGATGAATTTCGAAAAGCATTGCACACGACCTCTTTGTTTTGGATCCACCTTCAATCCTCCTTCGCGTCGTCTTCTTCCACGGATTCCATAAACGACTCCAGCTTGTCTTCCATTTCTTGGACCTGCATTTTATGTTTATTTCCTTTTTATAAATTATCGCAAGATATGCATATAATTACCTAAGACATTTGGATTTTTTTTTTCTATAATGATGATAGATTAATATTTTAGATTGAGATGTACTCTTTTAAAAATAGAGACTAAAATAATTCTTTAAATATTAAAGTGATTAAAAGAAATTTAAATAAACTTTTAGTAGGTTTTAACCAATTATCAAAAATCATATATCAATAATTGTACGTATAAAACTTTATTTTTTAAAATCTTCTAAGAAAGGAATCATTTTTTAATTCACAAACTGCTTTTTTTTAATTAATCACGGGTATCTGATCTATTGACCGACTAATGTGGATCGGATATTGCATAGCGAGGGCGACCCTCCCAACCCGGTAGTTTGCTCCATTTACAAACGTCGAAATTCGAACGCCTGACTTTGTTTAAAAGACCTAGTGTCTCATCCCAGTAGATCAACTGATTGTTGGTAATTCGGACCCTGCTTATAAATATACTAAATAATCGTTTTTTAATAGTACTAAGTAATTGTTAAATTAACTCACGGTGTAATTATGAAATTGTGCACATAAAATCAATGAAGTGAGATTGACAGAAAAACAAATTAAAAAGCGAAGCACGTGATGTGTTTATTTTAGATGCTAAAATAAATCAGGTGAAAAGCTAACCTTGTCAATGAGATCTCCGGCAAGATGAGCGTTCTTAGCTGTCTCTTCGGCTAAATCTTCAACCAGTTCAAGAGTTGCCCGCAGTTTTCCGCCGTCCGGAAGCTGATCGCCCACCTCATCTGCTATCTTCTCCACTTTCTCCGCCACTTCTTCCACCACATCCGATATATGTTCAGCCGTCTCTAGGACCTTTTCAGCATCATCTACATATATGAACCCAACAAACATACGTTAATGAAATGCCTGATTACTTGAAGAAGCAGAAGAAGACTCTCACTCATCAGTTTTAGAAAAGGCCCCCATTTACTCGTGGTGAAGGACAGGATAAGTGGGATTGCCGTTCCCAGAGCCCAGAGATGCCTGCAGATTATATGATTGTCAACTTCTTCAATGCTAACAGAAGAACAGAAATTGTTACTTCCATGTTTAATTAAAAGATTACCAGTCGGAACCAGAGTGAAGAAGATTAAAAGGAAACGGTGGAAGCCCCGACCCTGATTCCAAACTGCAGCACACGATCTGCATATTTTTCCTGCAACTTTCAAATATTAAGGGAAGCAATCAAAATAGATATCATAGTAAAGCTGGAAAAGGAGGGGTAAAAAATAAAGTTAGATTACAGTTTTCTGTTTCTATAACTTCCATTGTCGAGTGATGGGAAGGTTTGATTTCTCTGAAAAGGCTGCCTATTGTTTTGCTTTGAATTTGAGATATCGGCCAAACAAAGTCTAGTTTTGAGTTGAAATCTGCATAAAGACTCTTGATGAAGGCACTTAGCTTTGCCGGGAAGGAGAAGAACAGCTGATCCGGTGGTGGCCAACATATTTTGCTATAAAAATTAATCTTTATTCAACAGGCAATTCAAATGGACGGTACAATTCAAATATACACAGCGGTGTTTGTTATACTACTAATACTATTAAATTGCGAAATCTTTAGGAAGTCAATCCTTTACCCTTCTCAAAAAAAAAAAAATACAAGTCGTAGACAACTAATTTGAATAATTCAGATATATTTTTTTCATTTAAAAAAATTTCTACTTTTAACTCCTCTGTAAATATGATTAAAGAACTACATCATCCCACGACGCGAGATTTTTTTTAGATAAATATTGTGAAAATAAAAAGTTCAAAAATTATTTAAATAAATAGATTAAATTTTATATTATTTAGTAAAATTATCTATAGATTGATATAATTTTATTAAAATCATTATATACAATTTTGAAAAAAAAAATTATATCATCGATAATTATGTATACTTTTACTATAGATGTAGTAAAAAGCAGGCTTTTTTGTTTTTTTTTTCAATAAAAAAAAAACTCAATTATTGTCATTCATTGTGTCCGCCCACTAAAGAAAGGGGGTTAAATTAATTAAACTGAATGAAAAAAACGTGTTACTAACACATAATTGTAAAACAACTTTTAAGGTTCGTCTTTTAGAAAATCATAATTGACTCTGTTAGAAATAAAGGCAATCAGCAAAGTTTGATTTCATATCAGATAAAAAATATAGAGCGATGGTTTATATATTGTTTCCTTCTACTTATTTTCTTGATTATTGATTGATATATCTTGTGTACGCGTTTGTTTATTGTCGTCGTCGTTAGTTAATTGATTCGTGCTTTATGATTAATTATTATGATTAGTTTGATCATTAATTATTATAAATTTTAAATGTTATATTATTAATTATTATAATTGATTTTATCGTTAATTAGATGATTGAAAACTGATTAGAGACAGTTTATTAATTGAATTTTATAAAATATTTTCTGGTTCTTTTAGTCTTCTCTCGTATCCTATAAACAAAAAGTATTTATGCTTATTTTCTATCACCTAACAAAATTTCTCTATCGATTATATTATTTTTCAATCAATGCTAACATTTTATGTTGCAATAGTATTGAAACATTTCCGACAGACTTTTAAATTCATATATATTTTTGTAGGTCATATCTTTTATACATACTATAACAACAATAGTATTAATTAAATTACTGTGAAACTGATATTGGATATATGAACTGCAAAACTACACCGTTAGCAGTGACTGGAAATATAAACAGTAATTAAGAAGAACAAATTCGTAAATCGTGTCGTAGTAAGAACCACTGCCTTAGAAACGAATTCGCCCCGATGTGTGTAATCGCTGCAGTAGGCGGACCATCCCCCGAGGTTAACACGGTCGCTCCGAATTCCGTACACCCGAAACCGGAGTGGACTGCTGGTGGTATTGTACTTCTGATCGGAAAGCACTCAGAGAGAACTTTAGAAAACACTTTGTAAGTGAATTGTGAATGTTTTTGAATGAGTTGAGAAGCTGAATATAGCTCTCTATTTATAGGCTAGAAATAGAGTTAAAAATAGTCTATAAAATTTCAGGATTAAATCTCTTATTTGTAACAGCTGAAACGTCTAGATGAACCTGACTCAGAAATAGTCCAGGTTCATTGTATCATTATTCAGCTGTTATAACTCCCGAAATTATATCATGTAACCCCTGGAATTAAATCAAATAACTCTTGTAACTCCTGATATTAACAGATTGTCTCCTCTGTACAAAGCTGTAAATCAGTCCAGGTACATCTTAACGTTTCTGATTTAATTTAGAAATAAACTGTTTAATTTCTGATAACAAATAATTCAGCTGTTATTATTTGAAATTCAAACAGTCCTCAGCAGCCTATAAATATCAGTTGATATCTTTCACATTTTCCATTTGTTTCTTTCAAAGAGAAATTCCTCGAGAATTTTCTCTAAAAAGATAGTATCCGCGCGGACGTGTCGAAGACACGTATTACCACGACCACGACCACGACCACGACCACGAGCCGAGCCGTGCCGTGCCGAGCCGAGACGAGACGAGACGGACGGACGGACGGCGGCGATGCGCGAGAGCCCCCCCTTGTTCTCTATCACTCAACAAGGAAGTGGAATGTCAAGCCTTAAATACCATTCCCAATAGTGTTTCCAACACTATGTGGAATTGAGCATTACCAACATTCCCCTACTAATGCGAAAGAAATCTTCTGAAACTCGAAAACAAGCTTTCCAGAAGAGCAATAGCGAGATTAGTTGCTTAAGCACCAGTGAACATATCTGGAACTAGTACATAGTGATGATGAGCAATCCTTCTCTTAGATAAGTGAAACTAGTCTGGAACTTTCTAAGATCAGGGTAAACTCATAACACACAGCTAACCCCTTCATCCACCTGAGTCCTCGATGTGTAAGATATATATATATACAAAAGTATATATTTGGCCATCTTACCTCAGGATTCTAGTAAGTGTGCTAGAAAAATGGCCCAACATTTTTCATAGAAGGCGGCTAACCCTTCTCACTTACATAGGTTATTTCATCAAGTTTATCTCCACATAAACCACCCTTTAAAAAGGGATATGAAATAATTAAGAGCTTTTATAATAGCTCAACCTCACAAAGGGTTCATTATAAATGAACCACCCAAACTCTGGGCTAAGAAGTCATTAAGAATAAATATTCAACCTCATTTATCGGTAAATTCAATAAGTCCTTCTCACTAGAACCATCCAAATACTTGGATTTGAATTTATTAAGAGTTTAACAAACTCAACCTTTCTGTCGGTAAGTTCATCATTTCCTACCCACTCACTCTGGGTTATGAACTTATTAAGAATAGATATTCAGCCAAAATCGGTAAATTCATCAAGTCTTTCTCACTAAGACCACCCAAAGACTGGGCTATGAATTTATTAAGAGCAATTAAGCTCATCCTGGGCATGCACATTATTCATCATAGGGATAGGCAGTAGGAATGTGCAATATGAGTCTTTCCATGGTTTCGTTTGACCACATGGAACTTAGATAACTAAGTTGGGTATCCACCATGAATTCCTCAACCAATGGGCTTTAGACCCATCCCTCTCGACGAATATAGGACCAGCTTCCGACTTAACCCTTTGGTAAGTGGATCTGCTAGGTTCCTTTCCGACTTCACATACTCTAAAGAGAGCACTCCATTCTTTATCAAGTGTCTAACTGATTCATGTCTTATGCGAATATGTCTTTTCTTACCATTGTAAGCTTGGTTCTTAGCCACACATATCGCAGCTTGTGAATCACACAACAATAAAACTGGAGGAGTCGGTCTTCCCCACAACGGAATATCTGCTAACAAGTTTCTGAGCCACTTGGCTTCTTGCCCAGCTAGGTCAAGAGCTATAAACTCTGACTCCATGGTAGAACGAGCAATACAAGTCTACTTTGATGATTTCTACGAGATTGCTGCTCCACCCAAAGTAAAAACATACCCGCTCGTAGAGCTTACCTCATCATTATCAGAAACCCAGTTGGCATCACAATATCCTTCCAGTACCGCAGGAAAGCCAACAAATTCAAGTTTTCAATCCACAGTACCCTTAAGATACTTCAGTAAGCGTTTAAGTGCAATCCAGTGCTCACCACTTGGATTATGAGTATATCTACTTAGTCTACTCACAGCATAAGCAATATCAGGCCGAGTATAGTTCATTAAGAACATTAAGCTTCCGATTAATTTAGCATATTCAGTTTGGGAAACACTACTTCCTTTATTCTTAACTAGATGTATGCTAGGGTCATAAGGAGTTCGAACAGGGACGACATCAAAACTGTCAAATTTCTTTAGCACTTTCTCTATATAATGTGCTTGACATAAAGAAAATCCCTTCTCAGTTTTGGTAACTTTGACTCCTAAGATTACATATACTTCTCCCAAATCTGTCATCTCAAACTTAGTAGACAAGAAATTTTTAACTTTGTTAATGGACTCAATGTTAGAACTGAAAATCAACATGTCATCAACATAAAGGCTTATGATAACACATTCAGTTTCAAACATCTTCGAATACACACAAGCATCCGAACCATTCACAACAAAACCAAAACTAAGAATAGTTTTATGAAATTTCTCATACCACTGTTTAGGAGCCTACTTACGTCCATAGAGTGACTTTTTGAGTCTACAGACTTTGCCTTCCATACCAGGTGCCTCAAAATCTAGTGGCTGCTCCATGTAAATCTCCTCATCTAGATCCCCATTCAAGAAAGCAGTCTTAACATCCATTTGATGTACCTGCAACTTATGAATAGAGGCTAGTACAAATAATGCACGAATCGTTGAGATTTTTGTAACGGGAGAGTATGTATCAAAGTAGTCTAAACCAAACCTTTGAGTGAACCCTTTGACGACTAACCTTGCCTTGTACCGCTGAATCGAACCATCTGGCCTTAGTTTCTTCCGGAAGACCCATTTGTTGGAGATTGGTTTGAATCCCTTAGGAAAGTCAACTAATTCCCAAGTATGATTAGACACTATCGATTCTAGTTCATCATTAACAGCGATTTTCCAAAAACTAGCATCGATAGATCTTATAGCTTCTTCAAAAGTTTTAGGATCCTCATCTAATAGAAAAATTTGAGCTATAGGATCTGAAATGAAGTCTAAATCATTTATCTCAGAAATAAAGGAAGTAATAAAGTCTGGTCCAAAAGAGGTTTCAACTCTTTGCCTTTTACTTCTTATAGGCTCAAAATCAATTTGTTTAGAAGACCTAGCAGGATTACTAGAAGAAGTTGATGGAATATATTTTATTTGTGTTTCAATATTTATTCTTGGTTCCTTTAAAGGAAAAGTATTTTCAAAGAAAACAACATCTCTTGACTCACAAATAGAATAATCTTGTAAAAGCATGAATATGTATGCAGCACTATTCGTAGCATACCCTATAAACACTGCATCAACGGTTTTAGGTCCGATGGTGGACTTCTTAAAGTCTGGCAAGCCCACTTTAGCCAGACACCCCCACACTTTCAGGTATTGCAAATTAGGAGCGTATCCTTTCCATAATTCATATGGAGTAGAATCTAATTTCTTATGAGGAACTCCGTTCAAGATATGAGTTACCGATAGAATGGCCTCCCCCCACATGTTATCAGATAACCCAGAACTTATTAGTAAAGAATTCATCATCTCTTTTAAAGTTCTATTTTTTCTTTCGGCTATACCATTCTGTTGAGGAAAATAGGGGGCTGATGTTTCATGAATTATGTCATTCTTTTCACAAATATCTTTTAAGAAATTAGATCCATATTCACCACCTCTATCAGATCTAACCCGTTTGATTCTATCTAACTGATTTTCAACTTCTGCCTTATAAATAAGAAAGAAGTTTTTAGCTTCATCTTTAGTTCTTAGGAGATAAACTTTTGTATATCTTGAATAATCATCTACAAAAGTTATGTAGTAGTGTTTTCCTCCTTTACTTTCAATGTTTCTAAAATCTGCTAGATCAGTATGAATGAGTTCTAACAGTTCAGTCTTTCTATTAGAAACAGTCTTAAAGTGAGGTCTAGTATGCTTAGCTTCTACACAAATCTCACATTTGTTAAAGCTAGTTGTGTCTAGCTTAGGCAGACTATTCATATTCATTAATTTCTTTAAAGCATGAATATTCACGTGTCATAATCTAGCATGCCACATATCAATAGATTCAACAATATAAGCAGAAGTGGTAGCTTTATTTTCATTAAATTGAGTTTCTATGACAAATAAACTATTGCTTAAAAACTCTTTCCCCACATAATCACCATTTCGGGAAAGTACAAGTTTATCTGCCTCAAAAACTAACTTAATGCCTGCCTTATTCAGAAGCCCACCACTTATCAGATTTATACGAAAGGCAGGTACATACATAACATTATTTAAAGCCAGAGTTTTACCAGAAGTCAGCTTGAGTAAAACTTTGCCTTTGCCTAGCACTTCAGAGCTGCTAGAGTTCCCCATGTACATACGTTCACCAGTGTTCCCATCCTCGAACTCGGTGAAAAACTCCTTCATTGCGCAGAAATGCTTCGAAGTGCCAGTGTCAACTACCCATTCTGAACTGTTCTCCACCAGATTAACTTCTGAGACCACCGCATCAATGATCTCATCATCTTCTTCTACAACGTGCATATGTGGCTTGTTGTCATTCTGGCGGTCTGAGCGGTGTTGGCATTGGTAAGCTTTGTGGCCGGGTAAACCGCAGACATAACACTTGAACGTCTTTCCTTCCGGTTTGGCCTTTCCTGACTTCTTGAAGTTGGTAGCCTTCTGTGGTTTCGTCTTCTTGTCTTGATTCCCACGTTTCATGATCTTCTTAAATTTAGACTCAACCAAGTTAGCTCTAAAAGATAAATTACTCATAGAATTAGTAAGCTTATCTTTTAAACGGTTGGCTTCTTCAATCTTCATATGGCCCACAAGTTCTTCAAGCGAAATGTCTCTCTTCTTATGCTTAAGAGAGTTGCGGTAGTCGGTCCAGGACTTGGGCAGCTTCTCAATGAGTACATTGGCTTGCAACACCTCACACATTTGCATCCCTTCAGCGATGATGTCAGCGACTAAGTTCTCATAGTCATGGACTTGATCCATTATTGGCTTGTCGTCTGTCATCTGGAATTTGAGTCATTCGCCGACAACGTACTTCTTGATCCCCGCATCATCCGCACCATACTTCTTGTCGAGAGTGTCCCATATTGACTTGGCACTCCTTTCTCTAAGGAACATATCAAATAGTTTATTTGACATGTGGCTGAGCAGATGTCCTCGCACCGTCTTGTTGTCCTTCTCGTATTTCTCGTAGGTAGCGAGAGCGGCGGCGGCAGTTGCTAAGGCATCATCATTGAGGACCGCATCCGCATCATTACCGTGTCGTGCCGTGCCGTGCCGTGCCGAGCCGAGACGAGACAGACGAACGGCGGCGGCGGTGCGCGAGAGCCCCCCCTTGTTCTCTATCACTCAACAAGGAAGTGGAATGTCAAGCCTTAAATACCATTCCCAATAGTGTTTCCAACACTATGTGAGATTGAGCATTACCAACAACTGATAAAATATAATATTAATATGTAACACATATATATGATCATTTTGTAATTTATCAAAAGAAAAATCCGGTTTCATTGTTTCATCTGAGTAGGCTATTAGCACCATTGTAGGGGTAGTTCAGTAGGTGGACTTCATGAAAGGATAAATAATTAGATGCGAAGGAAATAAATATCATTGTAGCACTTGCTAAAATAATTAAAATTCTACTGAGATTTGAGTCAAAAGGGTGGTCAACATATGATCTACAAATTTTAAAATATGTACTCTCAAACATGAATTCAAATACTTGTTCATCACATTCTGTTTCATCATTTATTAAGAGCAAGCTATTAGTTAATTATTTCAGACTTTAAAACTGTTTCAATTTTTTTCTTATACCTGCTAAAAAAAATAGTTGGGTCGCATTTAAAAGTTGACTGTTTGGTGTGATATCAAATTCTATAACATAAACCAAAATCTACTTATTTAATTGGAATATAAAAGTTTTAAGTACCAAATTAAATATTATAGTTTGAAAGAAATATCGTATAGTATATTAAAGTTTAATCGTTATTTACATTTATCTTTTTTTCTAAAGGACTTAATTTAATATTGTTACGATTGATTAAGATGACGTTCATTTGTTATTACGATAATGTTTCCTACTTTAGATCATCGGATTGAATTTGGATACGTGATTCGTATTCGTAAATAGTTTTCTCATGCGGTTGATTCTAATCTGTGATTTGTCGGTGGTCTTTCAATAACATAATCCCCTTTTATGATTCGTTTGTTGTTGCGGTTAGATGTTTTCGTATCTACCTTTTATTCGAGTTTATTTGGTTAGATTTTTAACATTTTTCTTATATAGTATTTGTGTGTAGTTTCTTGTGTTAATGATTATAAAAAAAAAATATTCTTGTTATGTGTTCCAGTTTACATTTGTGGTTGTAAACTTTTATTGTAATTTGAATATTTTTCAATTTTAATAAAACTAATAGCTTCTATATTGCAAACAAAAAATATTTTATTTAATTTTAGTTTAATAAGCTAAATAAGATAAAATAAACAAATACGACATTAACGTATACATGATTCCATGAACCCAAATTAATACATTTAATATTGTTTTGATTCAAAAGTGATAGAACTGGACTGAATTATTACAATTGATGAGAGCTGCACATGTTTTGCCTAAGCAGGTGTTTCCTTTTTCTCTTTGGCTTCTTCATCACCACTGTTTTGTTTCGTTAAAGATTCCACCTTTTCTTCCATTTGGTCTACCATGTCTTCTACCTGCATTATATTTATTTGTGTAAATAGCCCTAACTAGTACATTCTTATATTTGGTTGAGTCGATTTCAATCAAATAAAAGAACTATAAGTTAACTGAGTTAACAAGTACTATTTTATCATTTAAATTTTATTTAAAAAGTAGTTGAGTCAAGTTGAATCAAATATAATTGTTTGATTTTCTATTTAAATTTATTTGTAATTGTTTATAATGTTATGTTATTGATTCATTCTAACTTAAACAAAAGTTTCTATTTATTTATTATATATATATCTTATTTTTTACAAATATAAAGAAGATTTATAATATTATTTAAAAATCAAATAATATTTAAAATAATATAATATATTTATAATGATATTTTTCTAAAGAATGAATTTTAATAATAAAATATTGATGAGAGTATCAAAGAGTCAAATAATTGACGAGAAATAAAAATTTACAAAGAGTTATAGTACGAAGATCAAATTGAATAACATAAAATTAAAGAATTAAATTAAAAAAAATAGAATTTTATTATCGAAAAGAGAAATCGAAGTTATGCATGTATTGTGTAATGGTTGAGGAGCATGAGATTCAAACCGTGACTAAAATAGACTTAGAATAAAAAATGAATTGAAGAAGCAATAAAATTAAAGATCAAATCACAAAACAATCAAATTAATTAGTTAAAGATGAAGATAATAAATGACATAGATTTAATATTTATATTCATACTTTTAAAATTCAAACTCAACTCAAATTCAAAATCTGAACTACTAATTCAAGATGACTCGAATAATTTAAAATTAAATAAAAATCGCGTTAAATATAATTTTTCTCACCTCTATCGAATAATGAATGAAAAAGGGTAAATTACACGTTTAGTAACTAAATTTTACTATATCTCTCCTATTTTACTCATTGTACTTTCGATTTTTTTCATTTTACTCACTGAATCGTCACTCCCTCGTTAAATAATTAAACGATGTTATGACATGAAGACTTACATCAAAACGACGCCGTTTTAAATTCTTTTAAAAAGTAAATTTTAGATTAAAACGACGTTGTTTTGATTAAAATATGATAATGTCAGAACGCTATTAATTTTTTTAATGACAGAGTCACCAAAAAATTTAATCTATAAAATTCAGTGGGTAAATTAAAAAATTGAAAGTACGATGAGCAAAATAGGAGATAAAATAAAATTCAATTATCAAACGTGTAGTTTACCCGTGAAAAAAAATCTTTTCATTTTTATACTATTTAATTTTTCAAAATTTTCTACTCCGCCGAAGAAAACGTTTAGGTCAGGGAGTTGGTATTGCAGTTCATTAATTTATTGGATTTGATTATTATTTTGGCAAGTGGTATCGATGACCATGTGCTAAGCCTACATATCTATGATAATAAAAGAATACCAACTTCCTAATCATTTTGTTAATAAAGAATTAATTCAATGCTGAATAACAAGGAAAGCAAGAAATAAGACCTTGTCAATGAAGTCTCCGGCTATGCGTGCACTATCAGCCGTTGCATCGGCCAAATCTTCAACAGTTTCAAGTGCATCCTTAAGTTTACCTTCTGGTAAAAGATCGCCAAGCTCATCCGTCACGTTCTCCACTTGCTCCGCCACTTTCTCCACAATATCCGCCACGGCTTCCACCGTGTCTATTATAGTTTCAGCTTCCTCTACACACACATACATACAACATTACATTTAAAGTTAGGTTCAAGAAGTAAATATAAATGCAACTTATTGACGATATTGAGGGATAGTACTGACGTTTGAGTTTTAATAATGGCCGCCAATTGCCCCTCCACATGGGTAGGATTATACTCATCAGAATCCCCAGAATCCAGGGTTTCCTGCAAAATTTAGAAATGACGCGACTAAACCTCATCCAAAAGCAATGAAATACAAATTTCTTTTTTTCTCCCTTTTGTAATACATATATAAGACTAACCAGGATCCAGGACCAGGAGTAGGAGTAGAAGGAACTATAGGTCCTGGTTCAACGCTACTGTTGCAGAAGGCCATGTTCCTATTTCTGTCAGTATTCTGCAATCTAAGACTTCTGGCCGAAGGTTGAAGCTTGGAGTTTCTTAGAATTTGATGTTTACCCTTGAGCTTTGATATCACCAAGAAACAAAGAATGGAAGGCTGAGATTTGCAGGACTCCATGGGAACCTTACATGTAAAGTTAAATCCTAAAGTAGTCGACATAACTTTTGAGAGTACAGATTCCTCGCGAAAGGGACTATACGTTTATACAGCGAAAGGGAAAAGAAAAAAACAAGAGAAAAATTGAGAATCGGGAAAAATGGTTTGGAATGGAAGAGAGGTGGTTGATGAATTTGCAGCCGGCGTGGAATGACAGGGTAGAGAAACACGTGCTTTTATATTATAGACGGCATGGCTGCTGCCTGGATTAGGAAGGAAGACAATGGTGTAATTCTCGCTCTCTATATTCTTCAAATATCATATTCCATAATGTGTGTTTGGTCTTTGCTTTTGTTTTACAAGAAATATTTAAGTTGATTATTATCACGTTTTCTTTTTTATTCCCTTAACCCATTAGTGGCAAAAAAGTAAAGGATCAATACTTACAATGGTCCTTTCACTTTAGTGAAATTCTCATTTTAAACCTTCTTTGTTTTTTTATTTAATTTAATCTTTTAACTTTAAATTTGTTATCATCGTAATCTTTTAACATTTTCCAATAATTTTTTTTTACTGAAATAGAGAGTCTAAAAGCAGTTTAAATCATTGGGCTTGTTTGATTACAAAAATCCTTATAACAAAGCATCTCATCCAATCACAATGGGTTTTAACACTTTTTCGTTTTCCTTTCTTATTCTCTTAGGCCCAAGCCTTATCTTTGGGGGCTATTCGAAATCCTACTCTTTCAACACACCAATGGGATAAAGCAGTATTTAACCCTGAACTTTACAGCTTCTCTTAAGTTAGTCACTGATTTGATTTTGGTCCATATTAGTCCCGAATTTTGGTAAATTTTCTCAACTTTATCTTTAAAATTTATTTATTTAATTCTTTTGATGGTTAAAAATTATGATCCCTTTTATTTTTTCTTTCTACTTTTATTTATTATCAAACATACTCAATTTGCTTTTCACTTTTTTATTTAACTAAACAAAATCTTAATGTTAAATTTGAGGGTAATTAAGAAGAAAACATAAAATTAAGAAGAAGAAAAAGTGTTAGCAGGTATGAGGTCCATTTCACTGGACAAGCACACAGTATCACCTTACTATGACCTTAGGGCAACCTGACCAGAGGCATGGTTAAAATGTTTTGAAAATCCACTTAAATCTAAAATATAACATTACCATCATGATTAGGACCCCCCACCAAAAATTGCAATATTGGGGAAGATTTTATCCATCTTAGAGTAATAAAATGTTCTAATCTCGTAGTTTGCAGTCACATCATCTTAAGTCAATACGTAGTGTAAAGTGTACTGTATTTATATGGAAAGAAAACGAGTCAAGCAACTGTAACACGCAGCTTTCCTAACATGGTAAAATAAAGCTTTAATCCTGATTTCAGTCCCTATTCTCTTTGAGATTTTGAAATTTAGTTCAGTTGATTTTATTTTAAGAAATTTGACCCTTCTATTTGACTGATTTAAAAATTATTGTCTAATGGCTAACAATATTCATAAATTTGAATACGCAGTATTCTAATATTCATATATCTATTTTAAAAATTAAACTTCAATTGGTAATAATTTTCAATAAGAAAGATAAATTTTAATTTTTAAAACAGAAAAACACAAGGATCAAATTCTTAAAATTAGACCAAAATTGAACTTTGAAAGAGAGAACCAAACACACTCCATACATGTAAATCTGTCTTTATTCTTCACTAAACCTTGAAAGAGACATATTAATTGATTTTCTTCATTTCTTCTCTTCAAATTCAAACAAACAAAAATGAAGTTTACAGGTAATTAGAGCCTTCATTTCTTTCATCTTTTTTTCCCTTCAATTCTCTCTTCATATAGCAATGAAAACCAGAAGACTTTTCCCGGCCGTAACTGAAACAAACGAAACCATAGGCTGCCCTGATTTCTGTGACCCTGCCTGCCCTTACAACTGCTACCCTTACCCTGACTACTATTACCTACCGCCGCCGCCGCCGCCGCCTCCTCCCTTCTCGGTTGAAAACCATCACATCTCACCTTATGTGATCGTCTTTGTTTCCGTACTTGCCGGTCTCATCCTTCTTCTCGGCTACTACGTCGTTATAGTGAAGTCATGTTTTGGTTGGTGTTGCTGGAGGAATGACAGGCAGTCACGAACTCAAACTGATACTTGGGACCAAGAGTTGATCAATGATAATAGAGTGGATCATCCTATTTGGTTCATCACAACCGTTGGTTTGCAACAATCGGTCATAAATTCGATCACTGTTTGTAAGTACAAGAAGGGTGAGGGATTGATTGAAGGGACGGAATGTTCAGTGTGTTTGAATGAGTTCCAAGAAGATGAGACGGTGAGGCTGTTGCCTAAATGCAACCATGCGTTTCACATTTCGTGTATTGATACATGGCTGAGGGCTCACACTAATTGTCCTTTGTGCCGAGCACAAATAGTCTTCGATGCCTCGTGTGCTACTCCAGCAGATCAAAATTCTGCTAATGTGGATGTAATTGTTGATAATCAGATGGAAAATTCTGAGAATGTCGGGATCGATGAAAGCGGGGGTGAAAGAGAATTGGAAGAGGCTAATGACCAAAGGGTTTCAAAGGAAGGTACCGATTGCAATGAAAATGGCACTTTGTTAGTGAGTGAGGCTAACGAGATAAGACAGATCAAAAGGTGCGCTTCCATGGATTCTTCTTCATCAGCTGCAAGTTTGTTTCTGGGCATTCAAGAGGATGTTGAGAACGTAGATTCGGGCATCTGGGCAACCAAAGACGAGGTGAAGTCAAGTGAGTTTAGGGTAATGGGAAATTCCTCCATTTCTCAGCATCTTCATTTAAGCCCGGTTCCAATGAAAAGATCATTCTCATGTGGTGGAAGGTTTTTCTCGTCCTCCAAACGTTACCGGAGCATGAATCCAATTCTTCCGGTGTAAAGCTTTTTACTGTTATAGTTTTGGTTTGAAGTGTGCGAAATTTGTTAAAACAGAGAAATTGTATGAATGGAAGCAGAAGCCTTATGATGAGAGGAATTATGAAGAGAAAGTTTGAGAAGAATAAATTTCATGTATATGCAATGCCAGGACACATTACATTGTTAAACATAAACTGATTTTCGCTTTTGTTAAGTTGAATTGGTTGAGAAAAAGAAAATATTATGGGTTGGTTGAAACCAGGCATAGAACAGTGGATTTGATGAGCAGTCAAAAGCTTTGCCTAATTTAGGTGGGTTGGGTTTTCTGTAAGGAGTGATTGCCATCTAATGAATCCACATTCTCTTTACTCTGAAGATGATGATCTAAGCTTATACAGATGACTACTATTTCATTCTTAACAACTCAATGGTGCCTTCTTCCACCATACATGAATTGGTCGAAAGCCCTATCAGTTTATGGGTTCACGTAGTCGCAGCCTTAAGCCCTATCTAAGCGAAAACTGGAGTTGTTAGAATAAGAAGTGGTTGCAGCCCGACTTTCCAATACCGGTGTTGGACTGTTGTGGCCTTATTTACACCTTCGGCTTTCATTTCCACTGGTGTAGCCTGTTTCCAAAACAAGATTGTTTCCATTAAAAATATGTTCAATTAAAGACATTTCTAATAAAAATATATTTTTTTAATATTTTATAAATATTTAAAATTTTACTTCTTTTATATTTATAATTTATAAACTCTACTGTGTTTAAATTTCTATTTATTCATTTTTTTGAAAATTTATATTGCTTTTATTTTTAATAGTTTTTATAAGAATTTTAATATTTTAAAATTTTTAATAATCTCTTAAATTATTATTTTGCTTGAAAATTTAATAAGACTTTAAACTTTCAATTGAAAAATTAATTATACCTCTAAAAATTTAATTATACTTTTAAACTCACAAAATCATTTACCTCGTCTATTATGTTATCATTCACACACGGATTATTATATCAATACAATAGATTATCACATCAAAATCATTATCTGACATATAAATATGAGAATGATCAATATCAATCAAGAGATGAAGTTAATATAATTAAAATGTATAAATAAAATTACTGATTTAAATGTAGTACAGAGACCAAATGATCGAATTAAGCCGTTTTTCTAATAAAAACAATTGGTGTTTTTTTAGCACCTCTAAGACTAAAAAAGAAAACTAGAATCCAAACCTGTGATTTTTTAGTGCTTACAACAAAAACAAATAGCGAAATTGATGCAATCTCGACAGCAAACGCCTTGAATAAAAAATAAACAATGGCTAACAGAGAGAGAAAAGCATGGTCAAAGTCAAATCTAATAAGTTCAATACAAAAGACAAACATTTGGATGTACTTGCATTATAATTATTTATCCACACTGGGAGAAACAAAACATTTTCGATCCTAGCAACATCTTTTGTTTGCTGATAACAACATCCAGATTCATGGACTTATTATAGTCTTTCAGTTTGACTTGAGAGTTTCAATGGCGTTTGTTGCCGAAATAACACTATTTAGAATCATATCTTGTCACGAACAACCATCCATGCATCGCCATGGATTACCGTTTGTTCCAACGCCCCCACACAGCTATTTTAAAACTATAATCTTCCATCACTCAAAGATCTCCCCAGATATTTTTCAACTTAACTTAATTGTTCCTTCGTGTTTCTCGAAAAAAAAAAACAAAATCACCAGTTCAAAGACCATTTGTTTTTCAAATGCAAGTGTGTGGATGTATATATTCTCAAATTCACGAGACCAACTGATCATCAGATTACCGATAAGTAGCTATGGAGTCAAACACTATCCTTATATTCGATATGGGATGATTTCTTTAAAATCCTTTTTCATTTTAATCACTGATTTGTTCAATATTTAATAGTCGTCGCTGATAATATTTAACAACATACGTCTCCGCGAAAAGTTTGATGTTTACACGACGGAGAGGCACTGAAATGTGGTCACATCATAACGCTTTTAGGACGCATTTTTATTGTCGAAGCTAAATGTAGGTCAAATACTGGTAGCACTTTCAGTAGCTATTCTCATTTCTTAATTATTACAAGCGTATAAAATGATAAAGACGCGAGGAATCTGTACTACTCATTTCTATTAAAGAAGATGTTATTATTCAAAGTCACAATCATTTGTACAAAGAAACTTCTTCGATCTTTCATGTAACTCTATCCTCTTATACAGGTGATAAAAGAATCTCCTGTCACTCAAAAGTTTTCGAAAACCCCTTTTTCCATGAGTCTGCGTCTTTCAATTAAAGGTGTTTTAACGTTTCATTGATATTGTTAAATAAATAATGATGACACAAACTTGGCTGTTTATGAAGGTATTTTCATGCATGGCTAAGCTAGCTTCCCTTTATTTTCCCCCACGGTGCGACCAAAAATCCAATGAATCTTCATATAGATAGGCCTAATTAATGATTTTTCAAATTAAGATGAGCAATATATCACTCTGGCTTTCACTTTTCATATCATGTAAGTTTCACGTTGGTTAGGAATTAGTAAGTAGAAAAATAACAAAAATAATATCAATGTAAGAAAAATCACACACCAAAGACGATTTGTTTGTCTTTGCATATTTTCACATATGAGCTGGGAAATAATCTACTCTAAACATAAAGATCTCAAAAAAGATAAATATTTGATGTCATATGTATCTCAAAACTCGTATACATATATGTCAAAACCTGATGTATCCTACTAATATCTATATAAAACTAATGTATGCAACTTAAACTACAAAAGTTACATAGATCACAAAAGGATTAAATTTATCTAAAATAATTATCTTGTTGGAGTTGAAAAGTCAAATATTGTTTTTCAACAATATTTGGCAGCCATTGTGAATTCAAAAGCAAATAGGGCGGCTAAAAGGGGCTGCTAAGGGGCCTGCTAAATATTTTATTATTTTGTAATAGAAATAATTATAAAATTAAGTCATTAAACTTTAGGGTATTTACAAGATTAGTCCTTAAGCTTCAACTATAAATACCCTAACCCATTTAGCTTCAAAATCATCCCAAATCATTTCTTTCTCCCAATACTAGAGCTTTCTTGTGAGCAGTGAGTGTTTTGTAAGCACCTGTAAATTTTCTCTCTTAGTAAAAGATTTGCAGCAGTCCGGAGACGTAGGCATAATTGGTTGAACTTCATTATCAATTTCGGGTATTATTTTTCCGCTTTTATTTCGCATTCTCACTAATCTGGTTATAGAGAAATTACTCGTTCTCGTTTATTTCCCAACAACTGATAATCAGAGCTTTTGTTTGTGAATTTTGTCAATTTTTTGCGAGGTCACTATTCATGTGACTAGTGAATTTCGTGATTAGTAAAAAATTTGTCGGTGATACGAGTTTCTCGACGGAGGTGTTATAATACACGGCGGTTCATAGAAATTGTCAGAAATGATCCAAAGAAGCCAGATTCGAGTGGGAGCGATGGATGCAGACGAAGGGAAGGTGAAAATTGAGAAGTTCAATGGTGCGGACTTTGGCTTTTGGAAGATACAGATTGAGGATTTTCTGTACCAGAAAAATCTATATCAATCTCTCTCAGGAAAGCAACCAGAGTAGGGATGGCAACTCAACCCGAATCCGACGGGTTCCGACCCGACCCGACCCGATCGGGTCGGATGTTTTAAAAAAAATTTCGGGTTCGGGTCGGGTCGGGTCGGGTTTTTTTTAAATGTACTGTTCGGGTCGGGTCGGGTCGGGTTTAGGGTGAAAAAAATCCGACCCGACCCGACCCGAAAAATATATATAATTTTATCCTATATATTTAGGGATAATTACAATAATGTCCCTCCATATATAATTTTTTTCAATTAAGTCACTGTTTTCATTGAATAATTTTTTTTATTATTATTTCGGGTCGGGTCGGGTCGGGTTTCTAAGTCATATATTCGGGTCGGGTCGGTCGGGTGAAACCTTAATTTCGTCGGGTCGGGTCACGGGTGAAAAACCCTTTCTTCTCGGGTCGGGTCAGGTGGCCCAAAAACCCGACCCGACCCGACCCATTGCCATCCCTAAACCAGAGGGCATGAAGAATGAAGACTGGGCTCTTCTCGACAGACAAACCCTCGGAGTTATTCGACTGACATTATCCCGCAATATTGCTTTCAACATAGCAAAGGAAAAGACAACGGCGGGTCTTATGGCGGCTCTCTCCAGTATGTATGAGAAGTCATCAGACTCAAACAAAGTTCACTTGATGAGGCGATTATTCAATTTGCGGATGACGGAAGGGGTGTCAGTGGCTCTACGCCTAAATGAACTCAACACAATCACAATCCAGTTGAGTTCCGTGGAAATTGAATTCGATGATAAAGTTTGAGCTTTAATTCTCTTATCATCTCTACCAGACAGTTAGAATACTACTGTTACAATAGTCAACAGCTCGTCGGGAAATAGCAAATTAAAATTCAACGATGTTCAGGATCTGGTATTGAGTGAAGAAATTCGACGGAGGGAATCGGGTGAAGCATCAAGCTCCTCAGCCTTGTACATGGAGTCTAGAAGAGACAGGTGATGCCATGATTCTATACGTCAATAGTATGATTGAATCATGGATCTTGGATTCAGGGGCATCTTTCCACTCCACCCCATGCCAAGAAATCAATGAGAACTATGTCAGTGGTGATTTTGGGAAGGTTCATCTAGCTGATGATGAAACCTTGAAGATCGTCGGAAAAGGAGATATCCGATTAAAGTTGCCAAACCAGACCACCTGGAAGCTGACAGGAGTGAGACATATTCTTGGTCTCAAAAGAAATTTGATTTCTGTAGGACAGCTTGATGGAGAAAGATATAGTACAACTTTTTCAGACTGTGAATGAAAGATTACCAAAGGAGCACTCGTCATTTCTCGTGGTAAGAAGACTGGTACTCTCTATGTAACCTCAAATTTAGAGAATATCATTGCAGTATCAGATGCTGATGGAAAATCAAACATATGACATCAAAGGTTTGGTCATATGAGCAAGAAAGGGATGAATACACTTTTGTCAAAAGGGAAGCTGTTGGATCTAAAGAATGTAGATGTCGGACTATGCGAGGATTGCATCTTTGGCAAACAAAAGAAAATCAGTTTTGCAAAGATTGGCAAGACACCTAAGGCAGAAAAGTTAGAATTGGTTCATACAGATGTATGAGGATCATCTCCAGTTCCATCTCTTGCAGGCTCACTATATTATGTCACCTTCATCAATGATTCAACAAGGAAGGTGTGAGTTTATTTTCTGAAGAAGAAATCAGAAGTCTTTGATACCTTCAGAAAATATAAGGTCATTGTGGAAAATGAGATTAGTTTGAAAGTCAAGCGGTTGAGGTCTCACAATGGAGGATAGTACAAAAGCAATAGATTCAGAGATTTCTATGCAAACAATGGGATCAAGATGGAGACAACAGCCCCTTTGACACCACAGCAGAATGTCGTAGCAGAGCGTATGAACAGAACTCTGAATGAACGTGCCAGAAGCATGAGGATACATGCCGGCTTGCCCAAATTTCTATGGGCTGAAGCTATCAACACTGCAGCTTACCTGATCAACCGCCGGCCCTCTGTTCACTTGGATGGGGGAATACCAGAGGAAGTTTGGAGCAGAAAAGAAATAAACCTTTCACACTTAAGAGTGTTTGGTTGTATTTCTTATGTACACATAAACTCTGCTGAAAGAAGTAAACTTTATGCCAAGTCCAACAAATGTGTCTTTGTTGGTTATGGTGGTGATGAGTTCGGTTACCGGTTTTGGGACTACGAAAATTGAAAGATGATTAGAAACAGAGATGTCATTTTCAATGAGAATGTGATGTACAAAGACAGGTCAACCGTAGAATCAAGTAGCTTCAATGTCGAAGCTGAAACAAAGGAATTTGTTGAGTTTGAGAAGATTTCTGGAAATGATATTCAGACCAGTCCTGAAGAAGTTCAAGAAGAACCGGTCACACCAGAACTGAGACGCTCCTCTAGAATTCCTAAACCAACTCAGCGTTATTCGCCTTCTTTGCACTACTTGTTGCTGACTGACAACGGTGAACTAGAGTGCTATGATGAAGCAATGCAGGTGGAGGATTCAGTTAAGTGTGAGTCTTCCATGAAAGATGAGATGGACTCGCTTATGTCAAATCAGACGTGGGAATTAGCTGAATTACCACCAGGCAAGAAAGCACTCCATAACAAGTGGATTTACGGGATCAAAGAAGAGAACGATGGGATCAAACGCTATAAAGCAAGATTGGTTGTCAAAGGTTTTCAGCAAAAAGAAGGTATTGACTACAATGAAATTTTCTCTCCAGTCGTGAAACTGTCTACAATCAGACTGGTGTTGAAAATTATAGCTGAAGAAAATCTACATCTTGAGCAGTTAGATGTGAAGACAACTTTCCTTCATGGTGATTTGGAGGAAGAAATCTATATGAGGCAACCAGAAGGCTTCATAGAGGCATGCAAGAAAAACCTGGTATTAGGGTTGTTCATTCGGTTAAAACCGAACCGAACCGAACCGAATTAACCGAACTTTTTTTCGAAAATATTAACCGAACCGAATTTTTTTTGGTTAATTCGGTTAATTTTTGAATTAATCGAAATTTTTTAAAATTTTCTAATTTATATAAAAATTAAATGTTTTTAATTGAAAAAAAGTTTATAATTAATTTAAATAATATATAATTATAAAATAAAAAATTTCAGATAATTTTTTTAATTAATTAATATTGATTTAGGTTTAAAAGTTATTGGATCTTAAATTATTAATTGGGTTTTAAATGGTTTGGGTTGAGCCCATATGTTATATATAATATATATAATATTTTTTAATTAAAAAACATTTTACAATTAATTTAAATAATATATAATTATAAAATAAAATTTATATAAAATTTTTAATTAATTAATATTGACTTAGGTTTAAAAGTTATTGGATCTTAAATTATTAATTGGGTTTTAAATAGTTTGGGTTGAGCCCATATGTTATATATAATATATTTAATATTGAAATTTAATTTCTGTTAATTCAGTTAATTCGATTAATTAACCAATTTCGAACCGAATTAATCGTTAACCGAATTTTTAAAAAAAATTTAACCGTTAACCGACCGAACTAATTTGATAACCGAACCGAATTAACTGAACTAATTCGGTTTGGTCGATTAACCGAATTAGTTCGGTTATTTGAACACCCCTACCTGGTATGCAGGTTGAAGAAGAGCTTGTATGGTTTAAAACAAGCTCCTAGACAGTGGTACAAGAAGTTCGATAGCTTCATGGATAGCAGTGGTTTTACCAGATGCCAAGCAGATCATTGTTGCTACATCAAGAGGTTCGATAACAACTTCATTATTTTATTGTTGTACGTTGATGACATGCTCGTTGCAGGTTCAGACATGCAAGAGATTATAAACTTGAAGCAAAAATTGTCGAAGCAGTTTGTAATGAAAGATCTGGGCGCTGCAAAGCAGATTCTTGGGATGAGGATCAAGAGAGACACAAAGTCGGGGACTTTGATGTTATCACAGGCTGAGTACATCAACAAACTACTCTCCAGGTTCAACATGCAAGATGCTAAACCAGTAAGTACACCTTTAGGTGTTCATTTTAGATTCTCTAAAGAACAGTCACCAAAGACGGAGGAAGAACGTACACACATGATGAAGGTGTCGTATGCCTCAACAATTGAAAGTCTGATGTATGCCATGGTTTGTATCAGACCAGATATTGCTCAAGCAGTGGGAGCTGTTAGCATGTACATGAATAATTCGGGCAAAGTACACTAGGAAGCAGTCAAATGGATCCTCAGATATCTGCGGGGTACTACAAACAAAGCACTTTGTTTCAAAGGTGGAGATACGATACTGACAGGCTATATAGATGCTGACTTAGCCGGAAATGTTGACATCAGAATGAGCACTACAAGGTATGTCTATACTCTAGGAGATACTGCAGTGAGTTGGGTTTCTCAACTACAGAAGATAGTTGCTCTCTCCAAAACTGAAGCAGAATATATCGCTGTTACGGAAGCCAGCAAGGAGATGGTTTGGCTCCAAAGTTTCTTGGAAGAGTTAGGCAAGAAACAAGAAAATAATGTCTTGTATTGCGACAGTCAAAGTGCTATTCATCTAGCAAAGAATCCGTCTTGTCATTCCAGGATGAAGCACATGCAATTGAGATATCATTTTATCCGGTCTCTTCTGGAAGATGGGATTTTGAAGCTTGAAAAGATTAGTGGAGCTCAAAATCCAGCAGACATGTTGACAAAGACGGTGACCACATACAAACTGAAGTTGTGTTCAACTTCAGTTGGCATGCTAGAATAACAAGACTAGAAATGCTGTTGCATTGATCGAGGTGTGAAGACAAATTAAAATTATTCTTCAAGTGAGATATTGTTGGAGTTGAAAAGTCAAATATTGTTTTTCAACAATATTTGGCAGCCATCGTGAATTCAAAAGCAAATGGGGCGGCTAAAAGGGGTTGCTAAATATTTTATTATTTTTTAATTAGGATAATTATAAAATTGAGTCATTGAACTTTAGGGTATTTAAAAGATTAGTCCTTAAGCTTCAACTATAAATACCCTAACCCATTTAGCTTCAAAATCATCCCAAATCATTTCTTTCTCCCAATACTAAAGAGCTTTCTTGTGAGTAGTGAGTGTTTTGTAAACACCTGTAAATTTTCTCTCTTAGTAAAAGATCTGCAGCATTCCAGAGACGTAAGCATAATTGGTTGAACTCAGTTATCAATTTCGGGTATTATTTTTCCACTTTTATTTCGCATTCTCAGTAATCTGGTTATAGAGAAATTACTCGTTCTCGTTTATTTCCCAACATATCTCCCATAATTTTAAAGATTAAAACATATTCTCTGTCTATAAAGACAAATACTTCGTAACCAAAAATTATTAATTAAATAAACTTAATCATCAACTAATCTTCGATCAGAAAAACTATGATAAAATTTAACTTAATTTTTAATTAATATTCAAATCAAAATTTAACATTGTTGATTGCATTTATGGTACTTTAGGCGTATGATTTCCGGTCATGATCGTCTCCAACATTTAAAACAATATATTGGATGTTATTTAGTTATTATCAAAACAGAAGAAACAGGAATGGAAAAAAGTAACATTCTGTGAGCAACAAAAAGTAATCTCCTTTACTTTTTTCCACACAATCGAGCAATTCTATCACAAATGAAGAGGAAAGGGTTAATAATCAATAATTTTATAATATAATGGCGGAAGGTAGTCATCAAAAACAGCTGTAAAAGGATTAAGAAAAGTAAGAACGTTTAGCATAGAGTTCACATTTGGCTAATTGCGGCACCTACACAGTTAAAATGTGTTGGAATAATTCTAAAGATGGTAAAGAGAGCAACACATAACTTCAAATGATACATCATTACAATCCTTTATATAATTGTTCAAATGATCCTTAAAATACATGCATTCATTCTTGATACATTAAAAGACTTCTGGGGAGAAAATGAAAGTATGTCTTCTTTCTGTTGCTTACAGGAAGGAGCAGGGCAATGGTTACACTCTTAACAGTGATGTCAAAACATAGTAAATTATCATAAAATTCGAATCTTAAACTTATTACCTTAATTAATAGGGTCAAATATATCCCAGCTTTTATGGTACTTTGAACTATACAAAATAAGTTCATCTTGTCAAAAGAAGCCGGCCGGAAGATATGGGCGTCTATGTCTTTAAGTGTCATAATTATTTGATCTTTTTATTTTTTATGAGAAGTAAAGTAATAGAATTCTGTCCATTTCTCTGCACTGTAGCTGATGGGGCACAGTTTTGTGAAACGTTTTTTGTATTTACGAAAGTGGTAATAATAAGACGTAATCTGATTTATTCATGGCCAAATTACATTAGAGGAAATATTGTACTCCCTACACTGTATGTTGTTCGAAATACATGAAGGAAATATATTAAAAGTTTCATGCTTGAAACAAATATGATAACAAACAACAATGGAGTCCCTTCCTGATCAGTTACAGCAGGACAAAAAACTTGGGCTTTATATGTCTCAGCTGAAAGCAGCTTCTTCTTGGATTCTGCGCAGCATTTGATTAACGGCAGCTGCAATTTCATCCACAGTGTTCAGATGGCACCCTTCCTCAACCTGTCCAGAAACAATAAAAGGAAATTATAATTTGAGATGGTGATGAAATTGGAGTAAATGATTGGTTGGTACTGTTCTTATTACCTTGACGCTAATTGAATACAAAACCATTTCCTCGACGGTCGAGACATTGAAGTGGAGAATGGTGAGGCTCAGGCTTTGCAACCCGGCAACCAGTTCCAAGAGTTGTCTGGATCGTTTCTTGGAGAGTATCTTGAGGTTGGCATGTGTCTCAACCATGGTCACTTCGATATCCGCCACGCTTTCGGCAGCGCCCATAGGCCGATCAGCCGCCATGGACGACGGTGAATCGTTGCACTGAGACGTCGCACGAGTTGAGAATTGTGGAAAGGTGAAAAACTCGGCAAAGGGAGAAAGGTTGCCGTTGGGTTCTGGATGTTGAGTGGTCCACTTATGAGCCTCCATGGTCTGCAATAGCTGCTCTAATTCCATCACGAAATTAATCGCTCCCCCAATTATCGAAGCTTGATCACCCTGAAAATTGTTCATGCATATATTAGTACTATAATTTTGTTGTCCGATAAAGAGAGATGCATAGCTGACCTAGTCTATGAATCTAAATGGTCTCCATGATTCATGAAAGTCGGGAGTTTCTTAACTTTTCTCAGCCAATGCCTTTCACGGTTCATAAGCAAAAATGGTTATAATATGTTAATCGAAGTGGTAGATTAGGGTTATCTAAACTTGTTTTAAAGGTTAATTATTACTTCATTAATCGAAATTATCAAAGAATAAGTGAAAACAAAGTAAGAGAGAGAGAGAGAGAGAGAGAGAGAGAGAGAGGTATAGATAAAAACTGACCCTTTGAACATAAGAAGGTGGCATCAAAGCTCTGATCGCAGCCAGGTACTCATTCATTTGTTTCCGTCGATTGCGTTCAACGGCAATATGAGTCATTCTCTGGGTCTCTAGCTCTTCTTTGTTCTTGCTTCTCCTGGTACGAAGACGTTTTCGTCTGGTGCCGTTGGTCGTCGCCGTCGCAGTGTAAGATGGCGGGGGTTCCATCGGAGCTTGGAAATCCCCGGCTGCAGGGCGGGGGAGAGACTGATCGACAGTGCAAACTTCGGGGGAAGAAGAGTAAAGATCCCATAGCTCATTTGGATGTTGTTGAATGACTGAAGAAGACGAAGAGCCCCAATTTGCATGGAAATGATGATCCTCTTGTTGTTCTAAGTTGCTTTCAAGAATTGCAGTAAGATTTTTATCTTCTTCTTGGAAGCAAAAAGCATAACCCCAAGCTCCTACTCCGGGAAAGTGGTCCTTGAAACCATAAGTAAATCGATCTGGAGGGTAAACCACGGCTTCTAATGCCATGTTTTTCAAAAACCCAGATCCTTGTTACGCTTGCAATCTCTCTATTTAAGTTGTTGTTTCTCTCAGTCACACGAAAAGTGAATCTCTTGTAATTGTAAGAGCTGAAAGCTGAGAATTGAGAAAGAGAGAGGTGTTCCCTACAAAGAAACCCAAAATGAGAGAAATAATGAAGAGCCCAAAGAATTACACATCCAAAAGACCAAACAAAGTCCCCCTTTTATCATCTTCTCTTCCCCCATGAAAGAAAGTTGATGACCTTTTTAAAAGATGCTTAATCCTTGAAAAAACAACAAAATGCTACAGCATGCTGCACGTGAGATTACATTGCAGACCAGTTGCTGAACCAGAGAGAGATTCTCTAAGCCAGTAGGAGAGAGAAAGAGAAACACAAAGACAAACATTATTTTTCAAGATAAAGAGTTTTTTGTACCTAAAATGGTAAACATGATCAAATCACACATTATTTATCAAAATAAATCTATAACACAGAGGAGTGGTGCTTTCGGCTTTCAAAATTACAATCAATCTGATATATTTTAATACTAAATTAATGTTCTTTTTATATTATCAGGAAAAAGGAAAACAACATCGGGGAATTAAGGCTAACCAGTGGGTCCAAACTCCAAATTGAGGGTACATCTAAAATCGTGAAAAGGGTATCAAATTTTGTCTTGTCCCTGGCCAACCACATTAAAATAAATTATTAAAAGAAAGGGCCGTTTGGTCTTTGGAGTAATTAACTTTGTAAATTATATATTTCTGGTAAATTCTCCAAATGAAACAGAGGAGGGTAATTAGAGATGAGTATGTTTTGATTAATATTAATGGGGTGGGACAATAAAGTGGGAAAGATGACAAAAAGCTGACGGAAAACCAGAGATTCTGATGAAAGATCTATTAAAGCTGAGGAAAACAGCTTAGTTTCTTTTTTCATAAAATAATCTTCATCTGTGTTTCAGGTTTGAGGAGGAATCCATGTGACCATACAAGGAGCCACTCTACAGTCACCTCAGGCCAAGACTATGCTTCTCATCCACCCTCTCTCTTCCCCAAAAATTCTCTACTTCTAAATGGTTTTTTTTAAATAAAATTAATTATATGAAGTGTGTTTAATAAAATATTTAATTTTTTAAATGGTATTTTTTTCAATATTTCTGATAATTCATGTTAGGTTTTGCTTGATGACTATGTTTGGACACGAAAAATTTTCAAAAGGATGTAATTAGTATTAGGTATTATTTAACTTTGTTGTAGTAATGAACAATTTTTTATTAAGCTAAAGGTTACAAAGTAGTATTTGTTCTAAGTATTCTCAATCGTTTGACAATGAAAGTCCAATCACCCCTTGTAATTGTTAGTGCTCGAACCCATGACCTCTAAGAACAACAACGATTCTTCTAACCGCTGAGGTAAGTTGATTCGTGCAATTAAAAACAATTAGTTAAACTCTCTAATTAAAAAATAAATAAAATATATGATTAGGATTCATTGATACGATGTAAACTTTTTAAGTTTTATATAATTTTGAATCATTAGATGAGTGAAAATTAATGATTGAGATAAATAGTAAAAACAATAATTTATTTATAGGTAAGAAAATAAATTCTCTTCAAGTTTTAGAATTTTAATCTATGTCGTTAAATTTAATTCATTTAACAATATAAAAAAACGTGATGTACCAAAAAAATAAATGAGCGTGTTAAATTTAAAAATAATACATTATATAAATGATTCCTTACTATATATATATATATAATACGAGATAAATACAATATAATATATGTTCAAAAACTCTAACTATTTGACATTAAACTTTCATATCAATGCATACGTTGTGTTTGAACCCGAGATCTTAAGAAATAACAACAATAAAATTGTTTGGTCCGTGCCTTAAATATATATATATATATATTCTCAACCCTCTATGAGAAGTAAAGAGTGTAATCAAATATGCTCTAATTACACTCAATTCATAAAATTCATTAATAATAACAACTATTCAAATATATTACAAATATAATTACAAATAACTATCATTATCAAATAACTTTCATTTCTTTCCAAACACACACCACAACCTATACAAAATTTTCAATAAAAATCATTAAATAAAAATGTAAACACAGAGCTACCTATCATTTAGTACTATAAACGATCAGTCTATTTTACTCTTTTAAAAAATACATTTTATATATATTAAATATTTTTTCTTTATACGAGTCATTAATTTTATTAAAAATAGAAAATATACAAATTAAAAATAAAGGTTTAAAACACAATTGGGAATAGATTACATGTATAATAAGAATATTTTCCTAAACACAAGAAAACTAGTAACTTAAGATTACACAAGATCATATAAGAAAAATGTTAAAAAACCTAACCAAATAAACTCGAACAAGAGATAAATACGAATAAATCTGACTGCATCAACAAACGAACCACAAAAGGGAATAAAGTTATTTAAAGACCACCGACATATCTCAAATCAGAATCGAACGATGTGAAAATACTATCTACGAACACAAATCTCATATCCAAATTCAATCTGGGAGTCCAAAGTAGGGAAGATCATCATAATAACAAATAAGTGTCATTTTAATCAGTCGTGGCGATGTCAAATTCAATTCTGAAAAAATAAACTAAAATAACTGTCAAACAACCGAAGACGTGCCATAGTGGCAAAGAAAAATGTGTCATAAAGACAAAAATACGTGCAAAAAATGTAGAAATATTAAGAATAAAAAACAAACAAAAAATAAATATACACTATAATAAAACAAAGGAAAAATAATGAATACCGATAGTCGGGAATAAGTACCAAGACTAAGGTTACCGTTGATTACAAAGATGAAGAATAAAATAGACTAACGACCGCTATAGAAAAAGAGAGAAAAATAGAAGAATATTAAATATCTTTTATTTTGTTATTGTTAGATATTCAAAATATTTGTAAATTTGACTCTAAACCACCGATATAATATACATATTGTACTAATTAAATTAAAATTGTCAGATAACTACATGAATCAACTTATCTCAGTAATTAAGGGAATCGTTGATGTTCCTAAAGGTCATGCGTTCGAGCACTAGCAAGGGTGACTGAACGTTTGTTGTCAACTGATTGAGAGTATTTATCACAGATACTATTTTATAATCACCTTAGCTTAATAAAAAAAATTGTGAAATAACTAATTTTCAATTTTTAAGATTTATTATTATAGAAAAATTAAAATTATATATGATATTTATCTTGATTTTTCTTAACAAATAATAATGAATAAGGAGGTAGGTAGGCACATCAATTTCGATAAGACATTAATTCTTTATGGTTTATTTCCCCTCTTTACATTGGGTTCTTCTTCCATGGAATATTGTTAACACCGTAACAATATTCTATTGTTCTAATGTCGGAGTTTAACTCATTTTATTTTTTTCAATGAAAGGATTTAAATAAACAAACCCAACTGGCATTCTGTTTAAAGTATCACAGGAAATGTTGTTTATGAGATTCCTTGACCAATATGGTAATTTAAAGTATACAATTTGCCTAAAGTTTATTTCTTTGCTATCTAATAATTTTGTAGCTTCAAGATCTCTCCATAACAATAAACCAAGCTGCCGAAGGACTATTAATAATTGAATTGCAAAAGTATTATTTAATATTTAGGTGTCGTTTAACTATTTTTGAGCTTCATCATACGCAAGCAATGCGCCGTTTCACACCCGCCCTTCCTTTGCATTTCTTTTCATCCAAATTTTAACGTGTACAAATTGATAGCAATATCCCTATCTTTATTCATCCAAAATTTTAAAATTTAACCGCAACTTATTTTTTAATTTAAAATTCCAATTACAAATATATAAAAACAAATCTTTTTTTTTAAATTTAGACTTGTGTTAATAATGTAGCTTACTTATACTAAAAAAATTATATCATCTTCATGAGTGTTTAAGCGTTTATTATCAAATTATTAAGAGTCTTTCTAACATATGTCATCTTATAGTCGCTCTATATTAATAAAAATATCATAAAAAATATTTTATGTTCATATTGTAGTTTAAAGAATTGGTACTTATGCCTTTGTGGTAGTTAGGAGGAAATATTTGAAAATAATAATTAACAATTATGATAAATTTATACGTATGATTTTATTCTAACAATTTCATTAAATAACTAAAAATAATTTTTTAATAATATAAGGTGATTACAAGATAATATTAATAAATAAAAATAAATTGAACTTTTAGCTGTTAAAAGTAATAAATTTTATGTTTATTAATATATGATATTTTATCCTACATGAAACAATGTTTTACAAAACTTTATACTATATCCACTTCATTTTATTTTTTATGAATAATGGCAAATGACTATTAATAACATTAATGAAAGGAATAAAAATTATAACGCATCTAAACATAGAGAGAAAAATGGAATAATACTCACAAAAACTACTCACACATAAAATAAAAATATTAAACCCAAAGATGCGAAAAAAAAGTGAAACTTTCCATTGAGAATGACGTCCAACATAAAAAAAACCTAGTAATCTTCATAAATCTCATTGTCTATGTCGAACAAAATGCTTTACAAAGGGATAAAGGAGTAGTAAGCGAACAAACAATTTGACAGGCTGCTCCGCTACACAATTATGATTATATTGGCAAATAACCTTTTATAAAAGATAATATCTAACAATACGTGACCACTAACAAACTAATAAGAAAACAAATGTCGTGATGATCTTTGTGGGAGGATCAATACGGCTATAGAAGTATGAGGAAAACGTACCAAAAATTATAAGGAATGTGTCACAAGAGCAAAGAAAAACGTGTCACAATGACATATATTATTATTTAAAATTGAAAATTCTCATAAATGTGCGGAGAAAAATGTGCCACAAGAATAGAGATTATTATCTAAAATTCAAAAATCTCAAAAAATAGAAGAGAAAAACGTACCACAAGGATAGAGATTTTTATTTAAAATTTAAAAAAACTCAAAAAAAAAATTAGAGTATATCAAATTCAGCTTGTAATCTTTATAGCTTATAGTTTGTTTTGTTAGTTAGTTTTATTGTTATCAGTTAGTTAGCTGATTTGTTAGCAGTAGTTCTTGATTAGTTAGTTAATTTTACTCTGTATATAAACCAGTATGTAATCCTTCTTGATATAGAAGAGAAGTTTTACTCACTTTACAGCTTCTTCAATTGTTATATGGTATCAGAAGTTTGCTTTCTTTCCTTCCACACTTCATCATGCTTGATTCATTGAATGATAGTTTCGACAATGGGGCAAATCCCTATTACTTGCATCAATCTGACAATCCTGGCATGATATTGCTGAGTCAGT